TCATCGAGCACACAAGTCATGGCTGGATCTCGTCCTGAGAGAACGGGAGAGACTAGATCCAAAGAAAGCGGGCTGTTAGGTGGTACTCGCCACACCCTGGTCGGTACCTGAGCTTCGGTAGAGAGTGGGCCTGCATGCTGGCGAGCTGCCCCAGTGTCTGTGCGAGAACCTGGAAGCATCCCTGCAGCGAATGGGGTGCACAACCAGATTTCGATACCCTCCACCCGACTGGAGAGGGGGGAGGAACGCCAGAAGACAGGCAAGAAATCCTCGTTTTTCTCCTGCGCGAATCTGCCATTCACCAATTGTCTGCGAGGTATGGTGCTGCGGATAGTTGTGGGCGAGCGAGCTACAAGCCGTGCGTGCGTGCGTGCGTGTGTGTGTGTGTGTGTATAAGGTAGTGTTATAGACGCGGAAGTAATACGTGTGACAGTCTTATTATTCCCTCTATTCCGTCCGGTTGCCAGCCCTTCTTCGTCTACCGTTTTTGTCAACACCCAAACTGAAGTGTTGGACCTGGGTTTCAAACAGCCCAGCAACTGCAAAGAGAGGGTGGTTGCGGGAAGATGCTGAGTATGGGAGCAGGGAGAAAAATAGATTCCCCTTTCCTATACTACTCTGTCTATACTTCACTACTTACCTTCCTCCATGTCACAACCGTTCCGCGCCGTCCCTTTCTGGCGATCCGGGACGCATCCGCTCACCTTTCTCGTCCACTTTTGGCTTTTGGCCTGTCAAACCGTAACAGCAAGCCACTTGACATCTGTAAATCCCGTCCGTTTCCCTATTTCAGCCATTTACATGGCCTTCAGCCGTCTTGTCCAGACGAAGGAACGGGGGATGTTATCGCGGCCGCGCTGGATCGTGCAGAACGCCGTTGTCGTCGTATCTGATCTGGTCTGGAGAAACTCGGTGCGTGGTGTGTTCGAAGGCTCCAAGTGCCCCGCGATGATGCGACATGCTAGCGGAGAAGCCAAGGCCCTTGGATAGTGTGCTTCTGGGTTCCGAAGAGGCCGAAGGGACTTCACCTTTTTTCGCTGGCTCGGTTGTTAATTTCCCTAACCCCCATGCAACCAGTTCCCGCCTTTGCAGGTGTTCCCCTGTCACATCGACAAGGCCAACCCTCTCCAGAGCCTGGCCAACCCAGCAACCCAAAGCTAGAGCATTTTTGACCGGGGGAAGAACCGCTCTTGGTCAATCGCGGCCTCGCTGAACCGGCATGTTACCATTTACAGGAAAGCTTGGGGGAAAAAAGAGAAAAAGAAAACCGCCAAGCGCAGGAAAGCCAAGACCACGCCAGGCGGGGAGAGAACAGGGGTTTGAAAACACCACAGCCAGCTTCCATCAGCCGGCGACGTCGTGGTACCCTACCCCAACAATCACTCTTCTCGCTTGCTTCCTACCCTGGGCGGCATTAGTTGGGAGTTCGCTTCGCCCCATTCCCGTATCCGTATGTATGTACTGTAGTTTTCGCCTCTTCATGGCAGGCCCTGCTGGAACGGAGTTCGGAATACCTGCTATGTGTACTATGTTAAACTATAATGGTTGCTGTATGAGACGCTGGTAGATAGTCCTCACCTTTCTTCACCGCGTTCGATCACACTCTCCTACCTACCTTTTCTTCCACCGATCCTTCCATCTATCTCACATCGTCACGCGCTCGCTCAGCACTCTTGCTTCTAGGGCATATCGTGACGGATCGCCAATGCTACCGTTGCCGTCCCGAATTCCGTTGAGCTAGGACCGTCACAATAACGCAACGTGCCGAGACTGCTACTCTTGCCTTTGGTCCCATCGTGTAGGAAAGAAACCTGCACGCCTGATCGTGTTGTAGCAGTCGCTGGCCCTGCTATCGCCTTCATTCCTTTTTGCGGGCACTTCATCCGTTAGTAAAGACGCGGCGCAACATTATTTTCCCTTCTTTGCGCGGTATCGCCCGCACTCTTCTTTTTCCCCTCCGTCTCAACTTCTTTTTCTTTCACCAGAACGGCCGCGTCCTGACCTCCGGTCAAAGCTCCGGCAACTTTCCGAGCAAGAGATCGTCTAGACTCCACAACCGAACACTGGTCCAAACGGCAAGGAAAGAAACAGTGACAACACGGCCGTTAAGGGACATCCTGAGGACACTGGTGCTCAGGCTTCCGCTCTTTCGGCACATACTACGGTACTGAACTTCCACAACAAGGGACGCCATTGTTTCGAGGTTGCAGTGCTGCCGTCTTAGACGCAGTCACTATTTGCCAGTTTTGCAGCTTCCAGAGCCCGGACGCTCGTCTCGTGCAGTGCGTCTCGTTGCTGCCATCTCAGCTTTCCCCTCCGTTGCACCGCCTGCCGACCCGATCTGGTCGTTGCCCGCTTTCCCCGCACTCCGGAGGGCCGCCCGAACGGCGAGGACGGCAAACCCGAATTATAGTGATTCCGGTCATATAGCTTCGCTCAACATCCCCGGCTGGTTCTTGATAAAACGGTCACCGTGACTTCCAGGCTTGTCTCAACCGCCCATCGTGTGCAGTACAAAAAGCACGACGGGATCATCTTCGTCTGAGACTTTGCAAACTGTCGTCTGAGTGTCACCATCGGGATATTTGGGGCATAGACATCCTCTCCCCCAGAAAAAAACCACGAGAGTGAACGACACGACCGGTGCTCTCTCCATTGTCTCAGTCAAACCCGAGTCTTCGCAGAAAAGAAACCAGCAGTCGCACCAACAGCTTTGATACAGAGGAAAACAGTGACGACAGCCCTTTCAAACAGCCACTTCAAAGTCCAGATCGATCGATCTGCCCGCCTTCGCTCAGATTCTGGTTCCTGCCTTAGCGCATCTGTTCGCTTTTGCTTCCCACAACGTGTGGATATAAAAAACGCCTGTGCGAGCGTGAGGAACCAAAACCGGTTCGGGAAGAATTTAGGAAAAGGAAACCACATCAGCACTTGGAGAACAAGAACTCATCGCAAAAGGATAGAAAACAGCCCAACAGCACCAACAGAGGCATAACCCAAGAACCGATTCTCGCCCTGGTTCCTCTCTCTGACACAACGACAAGTTGAAGGGGATACTCGAACCAAGCATCAACCCCCCCCTGGTCACCAAGTTCGGCAATCGGCCAGACTTTGTTAGGTAAACACCCAACCAAAGCCGCATCTGCATCCAGGCACCGGCGAGGCTCCAGCAGTTAGCAGAGGGCTACTTACCCACCCCTCCCCCCTTGCCCTTGCGCCTCGACGATCTGCAGCGTGCGTGTGGGTTCCTGGGCTGGTGGGGCAAGACGCGATCCCCCGGTGTTCCAGGTCTCTTCTCTCTCCTGCCACCCCCCTCCCCTTTCCTGACCTGGTTCGTTGGTGCCCCCGCCCTTTCCCGTTATGCTCCAAACCTGTCCAGCAGCTTAAGGCACTTCCTGTCTGGGCGCTCGTCCACCTGCACTTGGACTTCACGCGACTAGCATACAGTCTCCGCTTTGGTTGCTGCAGACAGGTGTCAGAGCTTGCAGAGAACTGAGAAGGTACGGGTGACCAACCTTTCCTTTTGTGTCTCAACAAGATTTCGTGCAGATGCCCTGTCCTCGGTGTCTTTACCATTTGCCCTAAGATACCTTGAGCATCCCATCCCCACCATCTGTTCGCCAATTTCTTTTATCTTCCTCTCTTGTCCCGCCCTGTTGGTATTTCATCATTGCCCAGCGACTTTCATCATTATTGCTCTGATACCTATGTGCTGGTGCTTTGGCCGCCAGACTCTCTCTCATTCTTGCCATCTCATCCCGTCATCATTTCATTTTTGTCCCTGCGCCTCACTTCACCGGGGCAAGTGTTCGTTCCCTCAACACTCTCAGCATCTGTCTGTGTCTGGTCAGTTGCGCCATCTGAACCATTCATTCCCTCACCCTCCCCTTTGCTCAGAGCAAACCCCCCTCTTCCCATCTTTTTTTTCGCCTCGTTTTCTGTTATCGCAAACAGGATGTTGGTTGGCGAGGAAACAGATTCTTTCTGCCCTTCCACGTGCCCGTCAATCTAGATATTGATTTGCAGGTTGCTGACTGCCGTAGAGTGACGCAATCTTTCCCCTATTTCGTAACAAAAGATCGGTCATTTCGCCCAGCAAACGCTCGGCCTATATAAGAAAAGCCGCAGTGCCAACTGGTGGAGAACTGTGTATCACGGATCGCTGCTCTCTCTCTCTCTCTCTCTCTCTCTCTCTCTCTCTCTCTCTCGCTCGTGTCGTCTCTTCCTCCTCGAACTAGACGCTCGCCATCTCGTTGCTGTCGCTATTCCTTGGATCAGAAATCCGCATTGCCGCTTACTGCTTATCGCTTGACGAGGTCTATCAAAACTGGTCCGGGAATTTGCATAATCCGGTCGCATTAGGGAAGATCACGCTCAGACGTCGTTCCAAGCCAGGTTTTGCCCCCCTACGGCAGCCCCACACCTCCCATATCCCACAGCCTCTCATCAGCGGAACATCGTCACGGCCTTTCATCCCCCGCGTTTTGAGGTCATCTCTCTGCCCCTAAATCCCTGTTAGCTGCTCCACATCAAGCGGCTTGGGAGGCGAATAGAAGCCGGGATTATATATAAGTTGCGTCGCCGCAAAGTCGTCAATCTGGAGTTGCCAAGTCGTCAATCTGGAGCGTCACAAGCTGGACGTTTTGCCAATTATATGCCAGGCAATATGGAGGTCATGGAGCTAGTCGAGAACGAACCTTCAAACCGTCCATTCAAATGCACCTGGGAAGCGTGCGGCAAGGTACGTAATAATATCAGCCGACATACGACAATCGGTGTCGGCCTCGGCGATGGCTGTGCTCGTCGAGCTCGGGCGGTAGCTAACCTTATGTCATAGAGCTTTAACCGCAAGTCGGACCTCCAACGTCACTATCGCATCCATACGAACGAGAGGCCATATCAATGTCGGTACCAAGACTGCGGGAAGAGCTTCATTCAGCGCAGTGCCTTGACAGTGCACATCCGCACTCATACGGGAGAGAAACCTCATAAATGTCAATATGAGGGCTGCGACAAACGGTTCTCTGATGTACGTCATCTCTTCGTCGGCCCCGTCGCAAGAAGGATATTACTAACCTTGGTCCAGTCCTCCAGCCTGGCAAGGCATCGACGGATACACACCGGGAAGCGTCCCTACCGGTGCTCCCATAATGGGTGTTCCAAGAGGTAAGAACTTCAGCTCTGCGCATCATAATGTGGTTGACCAAACAGCGATAACTGACTTCGCCAGCTTTTGCCGGAAAACCACTATGGTCAAGCATGTGAGGCGATCACATCAGCGAGGGGTTCTGTCTAATGAGATGGAAGATTCCCTCTCAGAGACGGGGAGTGAACACTCACCTGCTACTCCGAAGAGTCATAATGCACTGCCGTGGCAGCCGTATCCGCTGCCGTTGGACCAGCCTAGCCAGCCCCTGCAGCGTGCAGCATCGTTTGCGGACTTTGGACAGCCCATGCCGTATGCCCTGCCACCCCAATACAGCCAGAGACACAGCATGTCTTCTGGAGGTGTCGCTGATTATCATGCTGGTGGCCCGCACCCTCAACAAACTCTTCCTCATCTTCCTCATCCAAACCAACACCTGCTCCAGCGGGCGCCGAGCTTGCCGCATCATAGCTTCTTTGTCCCTGAGCAGTCGAACCCCGCTGTAGCAACGATGCATCCGAACCCCCACCACGCGCCGCAGATGCCGTACCAGCAAGTGCCTCGCCAGGCGGTCGAGCGGCCACATCTTGAGATTCCGTATCCAAATATCCTGACTGCGGGCCTGCAGAGCAGTCCTAGCACGTTCTCTCCTGGGTCAGGCAGGAGTCCTTCGGTCCAGGAGGGCTTTTACACACATGCGCCGCCGCCTTCGAGCGCTGGGTATACGCTGCATTCTGCCGGCCCCGACCAGCTTTCGCCCCTGAGCTTCCCGGGCAGCCAGGTTCCGCATTCCTCTCAGGCGCAGGCGGCAACGCCGAGGACTCACTCCAATCCTATGGAGATGCAGCGCGACGACCATGTGATGCAACAGAACCACCAGCACGCCGGCCAGCAGCATCTAAAGGGTCAGCCCAAGGTTCAGAGCCCGGGGCCATTCCAGAGCCAGACTTCAGCCCAAGGTCGCCCCAATCAGCAACCCCAGCCAGTCCAAGGCCCGAACCCAGATGTGCCTGCTTTGCCTGAGGCCGAGCCCACACACCATCAACAGCACCCGCAGCAGGCGCAGCAACAACAGCAGCAGCAATCCGACGTGACTGCGCCCCAAACGCCTGCTGATGACCAGCAATGGTTTGCCTATCAGGCTGGTGCCACACCGGTTTCCATTCCTCCTCATCATCAGATCGGTGGCATCCACTCTTATGCCCCAACCTTGATGGGGATGTACCCTGATCCGTGGGCGGAGAAGTTTGAACTCGACACTGGTGGCATCCCGCTACCCAGTGCTCGGATTGCCGAGATGTAAGGTGAAGCGGTCGTATGTACGATTGTTTGGAAGTCGTCTTCTGGTTTTGCTCCTTCGCTTCTTGTGTTGTTTTATTGCCATTTTCAACCATCAATGATGATTCACTTCTCGAGACCCGGGTGAGCTGAGTTTGGCGGGAAAATCGACCCACAATCACAGCTGTCACTGAGGTCATAAATCCAGAAGCTCATCAGCTTTGATCGGGCAGATGGGGCAGGCCAGTTAGTCTTGGGTCACTACCCTTAAAACACACACCTTTTTTTCACCCCAACGGGCTTCACCGGGGGTTTTCCTTACTCGCGTACTTGCATCGGGGAGAAGCAACAATGTCACGGCCGGAGAGTCTTTACGACTGGTCATTCTTTTATTGTCGAAGGATTCGGTCGTCTATTATGACACACGGATATGGTCGAAGGCAGAGTTGCATTTCTTTTTCTTCTATGGGAACTGGAAATTCTTTTTGAAATGTTCGAGATATCCGTCTCGAGAAAGTGGTCATTGGGTTGGCTCGGCCGGGTTCGGATCAAAGGTGATTGGGAAATGGGATAACGATACCCCCTTTTTATCATCCATCTGGCGAGAGAATAACAGCTCGGTTGGCGGGTAATGGGTACGGAGAGCATCTATCTCCAAATGGTTTGGCGGTGATGGGGACGGTGAGCGTAATCATAGTATGACCAGATCGGTGGAACGCTGGCAGCAGCCCCTGAGCGCGCTCTGTAAGAGGAAAGCGGAGAAGACATCGACGACATAGCTGGATGGATGGGTTTTATCAACTCAGTTGCATGAGATGATTGTCGGCAATGATGGTGTCGGCACATCGTGGAGGCTATCGTCATGTACTAGTAGTATGTCCTTTCAGGTTGCCTGGGTTTTTCGGGATTGCTGGGTTTAGGGGGTTATGGGCGTTGAGCTCTTATCCGTTTTTGTCGGTAGTTGTATTTCGATCATTTTTCCATCATTGTTATCCCGAGCGTGGTATTGCTATATGTTAAGTGTTCTGAATCCAGTCAGTGTGTGACATGTCTGTGTGTGTGATCGATGTTCCAACTCGTGATTTTTGCATTCACGTGGATAAAAGTGCGTTGATGTCCCATGTGAATCGGTGCCTCTATGTGCAGGATGGATAAGAAGTTAGTAAATGGTGAACTGGGTTGTGGTGCTTCGGGCGGCGACATGCCTGGATTGGACGAGTGTTCGATGTTGCTGACTGACATGGCAGAAGACAGTGGCATCTCCAGTTGATATGCACATCTAGTGTCCTCCCAACAATCAGGGCCACTGAGGGTCGATGAGCCCATTAAGCAGGACTGATTTGGTGAAAGTTTAAAGGGATATCTTATCCCTCGAATGACCAGCTCTTTATGTACTCATCCAAGGGTCAATGGGTTTGCCGCAAGTTCATGAGCTCTGTCGTCGCTCAAGGATGTTGTGTATGTGCCCAACGGCGGGTCGTGCATGTGAATCTTGGCGTTAAAGCCTGGGCGATGTACGACTTCGTGTATTGTCTCACTGACAATGATGATGCTGCTGCGGCGGTTTTGTTGTCTTTGCGCTGTGAAGAGGGTCAAAGGGGAAGGGTGAGAAGGCTCAGCCACTCACGAAGGTCGAGCATGAGATTGGCAGTTCAACCACCGGCCTCAGTGACACATTGACACCCAGCTCGGTTGTGAGCACACAGGCTCTGCGAAGAAACGGATGAAGCAAAGCAGAGTCAATGCATAGGCGGGCCTACGAGACAGGACCCCTATGGATGCCCGTGAATGAGGGATTGACTGATGGGTGACATGAAGAGGGTTAACTGTTAAGGGGATCCTCACATGCCAGAAACCCCCAACAACAGTGAGCAATACACTTGTATGAAGGCCTTAGGCATGCTGCTGTGATGCAAGCAGGTCCGAAAAAGGAAAAGGATGTTTCTTAAAAAGAACGGAAACTTGGCAGACGGGCATGCCGGTGGCTGATTTGTATTACTTAACTCACAGTTCTCACCCATCCTACCAGCATCCCATTCGTGCAGTAGTTGCTGCTGTTTGTCAGCAGCAATCTCGGCCATGGTGCGGGGTTGGGTTGCTTTTTCTTCTCTCGACGCCACCATGCGCACTTATGAGGGGCCGTCTTGGAGAGCCTTTGTGTGCCCCCAAATCTCGACTGCCGGCGTTGTAAACAATATGCTGTGTGTAGCTGTGATGATTGTGTGATGCATGTCAGCGTTCAGTGTTTGGAAGAGCCGCGACTTGCAGCTACATCCTCTTTTAGCCGACACTCGCAGTAATGACGAGAGTGGGTTCCTGTTAAGCTGCTGTGAGATAACAGGAAGGAAAGCGGCACCAGGGATATATGACAGGGAGGGTGAGAAAAGGAGAAGGGGGGAAGGGCCAGTTGCCACTTGCTATAACAGACATTTTGAAAGTGAACTGCGCAGGGTAGGACAGCGGCACCGTTTGTTTGATGGGACACGCCCCAAGAAGCTGTAAACGAGATACAAAGATTGCCTGGTATCGTTTGTAGATCTCGAAATGCCTTTATGCTTGCCAGAGAACAATGACCCAAGCAACAGACCGATCTAGAGGTAAGTGAAAATGCATAAGAAACTGGTTCAGGAGTAGGTCTGAACATATCCTAGCCAACAGTAGCCAGTGAATGCCGATCCAGTGAACCCAAATAAGGCGGCAGACACAGCTGCGCGGCGGTAGCGTTTCTGCGCTGGAGACCTATTGCAGGAAGCATCAATGTACAGAGCTGTCGGTAGACAACCTATCAAGCACCAGCCAATCGAGGCAAGTAGATGGCACGAGTGGCGATTCTCGTAAAGATGACGGAGGCCGGACCGGCTGAGCGAGCTGTAGACTGCAATGCAACTGCAGATCAGGGCACTCCACTTTGGAAGATTTCTGGTGTCAAGATCCAGAGACTTGTCTCTGCCGTCCAGAGAGCTGTTGTATGGTTCCGGCGCAGGTTGCTAGCCCCGGACGGCACTGTGTTCGGGAAGCAGGACCGACGGGAGATCGAGGGCCAGTGTAAGTTTCTGTTCGGTCAACATAACATCTCCTGTGGTACTTGGTGAGCGGGATGCATGAGAGCATCTCGATAAGTGCGTAGTGTAGCAGGTAAAACAAAGCTTGGATAGGATAACCGTCAGACATTGCCAGTCTCGGCGTCAACGTCTCATTGGAGGAGTGGATATAGAAGAATGTCGTAGGTGACAAAAAGAGCAAACATTCAAAGGCTTCACATTCAGATATCGCAAGACAATACCAAGGCAGACAGCCAAGAGTGGGAAGTGCCCTTTTTACGAGAAACCAACGCGCGCCGTCCTTAAGTATTCCACAATCTTCCATTTGCCCCGGGACCGCTCTCAATCCTGCTATCCCTTATTGGAGGAGGAGGAGGAGTGCAATGCCTCGGGTTTCCTTGGCCATGACCCCGATTTCATGCTCAACATTGTTCTCAGAGTGGGATGCCAATAAACGGCGAGGTTAAACACCAGTGGGCAAACTGCCAAACAGGGCGTTTTGCCAATCTGGGGTTGGGAAAATCCAGGGAAGGGCTGAGGAGATCGGGCGAATCCAGCAGGCTGGAATCGAATTTGTGCGCGATGCCCCGCTATCCCAGGTTTGTCACTGTACTGTCAGTGGCTTGTTGCTCGTGGGCACTGGAGCCGCTGGAGCCGCACGCGGGCCCGATCGTGGGAGCTAAACACGTTTCGGGGCACAAATCACTAGTGCTGCCGTCAGCCTGCCGGCGCCTTTGGGCCAGAGCATCCGGCTCAGCACATGGCGAAGACAGTCTCTGCTACCTGGGATATTGTCACCATATTGACAACCTCTAAAAATCCCCGAAGCAAGGCCCAATCGAATAGCCTGGAATGTCAGGATCCTGGATCTTACTGTATCATTGCCTTTTGCTTAGCGAGCCTTAATTGCTAGGTTGATCAATCAGTGCATGTGTTTGCATCCAAACCAGCGAAAAAGGTGAGCCCAAGTTTTTGGCGTTAAAACTCGCTTCTCCACTGAACTCCAACACAGATACTCCTGCCATCTGTCCGCGGAGCCCTGGTCCTTGCCTGTTCCTGGCACATGTTCACAGAATCCTGCCAGCCGGCGACTGGCCCAGCGAGTCTTGGCATTTGACCCACCGGACTGCCGAACGACACCGCCAACCGCAACCCATTCCAGATCCAAGTTCCAACGCTCTGGATACGTGACCTCCGTTTCTGTACTTCTGTGAAAACATACATACATACATACATTACTACATGTTAACAAAATTTCGAAACCTAAAATAATAAACTGGAAAAATGCAGTTGTCCACTCTAATCATTGCCGGGATCGTCGGGCAAGCCCTTGCCCACGGTGATCACGGCAACCGGTCACAGAAACCGGTGGTGGATGAGAACGCGAGCTGGATGGTGAAACACATGGCAGGTAAGTAAGCGCGCGCCTAGTGTCGCGGCCACATTCACACGCAACTAGTTTCCGCAAATGACAGCTAACGGATCACACAGAGGAGCACCACACAGGCTCGTTCGACGCGGCGTCCTTCTTCGCGCTGCACGACTTCAATGGTGACGGCGTCTGGGAGGCGGACGAGATCCAGCGGACGTACGGCTTGATGGACGACTCCAACAAACACGTGTCACAAGAGGGGCGCGACCGCGTTTCGCGGGAGATCTTGAACCTAATTGATCGCAACGGTGACGGTCTCATCAGCCGCGAAGAGTTCGTGCGCTTTATTGATGTCGAGGGCAAGACCCTTCCCGATATGGGTACCGGCCCCGGCCATCACGGCGATGATGAGTACGAGTATGAGATTCACCATTGGGAGAAGTATGTGGTTCTTTTTGGTTATGCTGGTGCGCATAGCGGAGGCTAATTGCCATAGGTACCACGACGAGAACACCAAGTTGGAGGACCTGACACACCCAGAGGACATCGAGCACTTCAAGAAGCATGAGGCCATGGAGGCCGCTCAGGAACGTGCCGAGCAGCTCGACCGACAGCCCATAGTTGAGGCCAACATCCCAGCCAAGTTCAGGAGGCAAGGGTGACAGGAGAAAGCCAAAGTGAATGAGCATGGGATACCCATTAGACATCCAGCATGATACAACGCCATCTGCACACTTACCTACTGATTCCATATATGATACTATACGCGTAATGGTAATACTACACACATCTATCTACTCATCTGTCACCCTCACATCAAACACACAATGCCACACGCCTGGCGCGAATGTTTTGACCTTTTCAACATGCTCCACTGCCCCCCTCCTTCGCTTCTCTATCCCTTCCTCTCCCCAACGACTCACCAACCCCTGCACCTCCATCCTCCTTGTTTCAATATCTGACTCGCCGACATTCTCATGTAAGTGCAGCCAACCGCCCTCGCTCTCATTGTCCCTCACCATGTCCCAGGCATCCTTCCAAACCAGAGCGCTGGTAGGCAAAAACCCGCAATTGACATGCACAATGTCCAAACCGCACTTCTCTCGCAACCGACGAATCCGCGCAGCAGCATGGACATTACTCTCGAGAAAAACAAGAATCTGCGCCTTCTCCTCCGCCAAAACTTCCCTAGCCAGTAGCTCCTCGTCATTACTCTGCCTCTCCTCCTTCGATGGATCAATAACCCTCACCTCCCACCCATTGAGTTCGGCCCCCCTCCTCAACCCCTCCACACTCCAAGGATTCAACTCCCAACACAGCACCCTCAACCCCAACCGTGCATAACTAAACGCAAAGTACCCGATCCCAGCATACAAATCCACCGCAAACTTTTCCTTCCCACAACTCGGTTTGAAGGCAGGCGTGTTTAATAGCCTAGCTTTCTCCTTCACATTACCCCTCGAGAACATGATATGCAGCGGTGCCCAGGTCTGGATAATACCGTTTTGTTTTGTGGATACCCAGAGTGCAGCATCAAAGTCTGTTTGGGAGGGGGGAGAGGGGGGGTTGCAGGGGCCGAAGGAGCCGAAGAGGGGTTTGAGACCTGAGGGGGAGCGGAGGATATTTTCTTGCTGATGTGATACGCCTTCTCGCTGAGAGGAAATCTGGAGGGGGATTCCCTCATTTACGGCGAGATGAGTGGGTTTGGAGGCTCCCTTGGTGGTGGGTGATAGCTGGTGGAGGATTTCGGCCCAGAGGGCATCTTTTTGAGACGGGCTCAGGATGGACAGTAGGGCAGGCCACGGAGCAGAGGTGAAGCTCCCACTTGGGAGCAATACCATTGGCTCGTAGACTACCCAGCGTTTTGGGGCACGGTCGAGAAGCTGTTGACGAATGTAAGCTGCCCCTCCCTCGTGATCAAGATCGCCGCGAAGATAAGAGAGGTATACGGATTCAAGGATCGAAGATGGTAAACTGTCCAGCCAGTTGCCAATGGCACTTAGGACAGGATTTCCAGGTTTTTCTTTCTTTTTCTGCGGGCGAGACATGGTTGGCATAGGAGAGGACGGGTCATGTTGGTGATCAGTGATAGCCTGGATGTGAAGTTCCCAAAAAGTCATCATCTCGACAAGGGTTGTACATGCTTTGTGGGGTGGAGGGGGAGCCAAGAGGCTGCGGGGTCGTCTGCACGAAAATCCTACTCATACACATCACTCACCACGAAGGGTAACCCTGCACTGATGAGCTGCACAATCCTAGTCGTCTGTCATCAAATCCCGCAAGCCCGGTTAGCTCAGCTGGTTAGAGCGTCGTACTAATATAATCCCTCTGGATTATACTAAGTGATGCGAAGGTCAACAGTTCAATCCTGTTACTGGGCAATTCTTTTGCTGGATTCTTGTTTGCCCTTGATCAGTTAAGTGAGGCATGCGATGTGTCAAAGTGATTGAATATTTTTTTGTGCAGCTGCGGTAACAGCAAAGAGATTGCTCGCAAACATGGAGCAAATCCCTTTGTAAGAATCCCAGGTCCAGAGGGCCGAGAAAAAATCGTTGGCCGCCGAGACAGGTGGTTGATATAAAAAGGGGATCATAGCATCGATATTACACCAATGGCTCCGTGTCAATGATACATGTGAAGTTCAAAGATGTAATTTTATACTGACAGATGGGTATCAACTAGTTGTAATACTACATTACCATCATTTTTGAGTTGTGTTCTTTTGAAGAAGAGCTACACAAATGCTGCGAGGTTATCAACCCATATAACTTTTACCTTCACGTTTTTTGCTGTATAGATGATCACGGCATCATGGCATCCCAATCAAAGTTTCCGCTGCCCCACAGCTCATTAAGATTATAGCCTAAAGTCTCAAGGTTAAACTCAGGGTTCAACGGCTGGATCTGCTACGAGTAAAGAATACAACTGTTAGCAGGACAACACACAAACAGGAGTCGTCAGTAACGTCAAAAACCAACCTGAGGTAGACCAGACGGGTCAGCTGCATTCGGCATCCACCATGGCGTACCAGGGACTTCCACCTGGTTTGCGCCGCCCACGGCACCCTGTTGCGAAGAGGATGGCGGGAACGGTGTGACGGACTGTATGGACTGCTGTCAAAATCAGATCCTCATACAAAAAATTATTGGAGGAGAAGTATGCTCTGCTGTGACAAACCTTCGACCTCATATAGCCCCCTTCACCAGCAGACCCGTTCGGCAGCTGAGGACCGTATGGCATGCCTGGCATTCCTCTGCCTTGCTGCTGATGCTGTTGCTGATCACTGGGCGCCGACCCCTGAGGCACACCACTACAACAACCCGCAACACCAAGTCCAAGTGACTGCTGAGACCCAGGCGGGTCTTGACCAGCCAAAAGCTTATAATGCAAATTGATAAACCTCTCCGCGCTGGCAGCCTTTGCTGCCTCGGGCGTCTTAGTCCCGAGGTGGGCCTCCAGCAACCCAAACGCGGCACACATGATGCTGTACCCCCACGGCTCGTTGTTACCACAGCGTAGGATGCGGTCCTCCTTCATGGCAAGACACTTCTCCAGCAGCTGCAGCGTGTGTTGGGAGTTGATCATGATCATGTTCGTTGAGCCGCGCGGTTGGAGCATGGTGACAGACGTCAAATTGATGGCCAGGGTCAGGGAGTCCTCGCGCAAAAAATTAAGCGTGCGGATACCCTGCTGGGCCAGACGATCGTGGAGAAGGACCATGTCGCGCGCGGCGTTGTAGTATATAATTTCTGAGTACTGATACTTGGAATTGGTTTTGCGCAATCGCAAGAAAGGCTGGTGAAGGGGGATGATGTACTGTCGGAGTTGAATGTGCAAGAGGGTGTAGGCGAGAAGTGGCTTCTTGAGGGGCCGTCCCTGTTGGTCCGATTGGGAAGAGTCTGTTGAAGTGTCGCTCACGTCCCAAGAAGGAAGTGCATCGATCTCTTGGTTGATTTCGTTCGTGTAACGGATCACTCTATCATAGTCCAGCTCCTCTGGTGGACCGGTGAGCAGACGACTGAGCTCCAGTCGCAAAGGAAGGGACTGGCGGCTGAGGTGCTGGAAGGAAGAGAAGGTATACTCGCTTGGGGGTTTAGAAGGAGGAAGCTCCTTGGAGTCTTCGTCGAACTCTTCATCGTCAATATTGCGAGGTGGGTCGACGTCAAAATGCAAAGAGCACAGAATAGACGGTAACCCATGGTCAAAGGAAGCCTGTAAGTCATAGCTTTGTATGGTTGCCCAGATACGGCGACGCATCTCCTGGTTGAAGGGGGAGATCTTATCGCTCATATGGCTGGGCTCGCGGTGCAGACCAACACCAATAGCATCCTGGGTCATTGCGCCAGCATTCTTCCAGAAGCGCTTCTTTTTCATGGTGTTGATACGCTTGGCCAGGTAGACGAGGCATGCGATCTGATAATGGATCAGCCGGCGGTGCTTCTGACTCTGCTTCTCCTGCCAGGCGTCGACGGCCTGGACCCAGCGGATGGCCCGGGTGTGTGAGCTCGAAACCATCTTATCAAACTTGTGAGGCAGCTGGGCGCCCAAGCAGCTTGAGATGCCCATCATGGCCAACACCAAGGCCGTGAAGGCGGCATTGCGAGTTTCTCCGGGCTGCCAGAACTTGGCGTAGTCGCGTCGGAAACTGGGGATATGCACGATCCGGTGCACTTGCTCGAACTGTTCCAGATAGATGGACACTAAATTGTCTGTCTCCTCTTTAGATGGTAACAAGGCTTCCAGTTCCGGGTCGGGCTCACGGAAACGCCGCTCCCTTTCTTCAGCCCCTTTCTTGCGATCCTTGGGGCGATGGATATGGAGTGGACGCAGCCACTCCTCCGATGTTTCTTTCATAAAAGGGCACAGTCCACTGAGTTCCTGGAAGGCCAAGAATGCGCTAGCGGGACCATAGTAGCGTGTCTTGAACTCCTTACCCCTGAAGAAGCGTAACTCTTCGCGATCCGCAGAGGTCTCTTGGGTCTGCAGAAACGGAGGCACCTCGACCTCCCGGCGCTGCTCCTGCTCAGTTTGTTCATCGTTTGCCTGCTTCACCTCCTGGGGAGAGCGTTCCTGAAGGGTGCTGCTACCATCAACCGAGGGAGCTTGGGCCTGCTTGAGTAAGAGTGATTTGAGCTGGGCGACCTCAAGCTCGAGTCGGCGGATCCGGTCCGAATCCCGGGCGTCCTTACGGAAATACGGCGACTCGCCCCCAGTGCTGGGTAGGGACAGAGGAGGTAGACGGGATTCAATTCCAGCCAGGGCAGTAGGGGTCAGGCCGAGCTTGTTCGGAGGGGCCAGGCCGGGACGGGTCTCATACTCGCAGCGCTCAGGGGTGCCAGACTGGAGACAGCGCGAGCAAGGGAACTCACGGTCGCATGAGAGCTTGCGGCGGCGGCATTCGAGGCACGATAATCTCACGCGTTGCCGCTTCCGAGGAGGGGGCCGGTCGCTCCGGTCGGCTGACCCGCCTGCTCCCCGGTCACGATCATTGCCACTCACACTCCCGGTCCTGTTCCGATCGCGATCATGATCCCGGTCCCGGTCCCGATCCCGGTCATTGTGAGAGGACTCCCGGTCGTGGTGGTCATGATCCCGGTCGACATGCGACGAGTGGGAGTCATGATGCGACAGGTGAGATTCGGTGGCCGCCGGGCTGGTGCTGTGCTCGCTCGGCTCCGACATGGTGGACGCGGAGCTATCGGGTCAAGCGTCGGAGGCCGTAGACAGGCCGTTGGGGAGCTGGGATGATGGCGTGTCTGGAGTGCCGTTTATCAATCGGTCTGATAATCTCTGGTCAATGGGAGCGCAGAGCCATCACACCATCGGCGTTGACGTCAATGGGGTCTGCTCGCTCAGAGCAGCTTACTCACGACTCGTCGCAAAACACTCAGGGACTCAATTGATGATAACAAATCTACACAGATGAAAACACTTAGAGTTTTTTTTCCTGCTGCCTCAATTACGAGGAATCCATTGCTCATGACGTTTCTGAGCCTGCGAGCCGCAGTCTTCCAGCAAATCTTACCTCGGATCTCCGACAAATCGCCGAGATATCCTCCCTGCTCTGACGAGATGTGCCAAGAAGACCCTGGGCGCTTCCTCGCTTGGCTTCTTAAAAGCCGACATCGCCGAGGTTTTACTCGTGAGCTGGCGCCCTCAAAAGCACCACTGTAATGTAAAAAACAAGAGGATGAATTGAAATAAGTCAGAACTCACGATGAGTGTTGCGATCATGGAATGCAAGTCTTGAGAAAGCTGGGGCAACGCATGATCTATCGTCAGCTGCTTGCCTAGACTGCATAAACCCTAACCCTGTTACAAGTTTATCTTGGCGGGTCCCCACCCCGAGTCCGCGGAAGTCCGGCAGGGATGTTGATCAGCCTGGTGTTGTGCACCCCTGGACAAAAAGACTGTGATGAGAGAAGGGACTTCCGTGAGAGTAGGCGAGGTGAGAAGAAAGTGGAAATCTAGTCTTTACGCCTATCCTGCAGTGTCTCTTTTATCATTCCCTATGATTTCTTTTTTCCTGGAGTAGAACTGAGCGCCTGCAGCTCTACGGGTGAATCCCAACCAAAGGAGGAGCCATCCAACCTAACGCGGCTAGGGGCAGAAGGCTTGGCGGGTTACGTGTTGTCTTTGATCTTTGAACTCCGTTTCATGTTTTTGATGTTGTGGAACTCTGCTCCCGATCCGAACTTCTAGCCATGACAACATGGTTGTAAATCACCAGGGCACCATGCAGCGTTTGCTTGTGCTGCTTGTTGCGCTGGCTTGCTCGGTGGTAGGCGTAGTGGCCATCGTACCTGGCAAGGCCTTTGACCGCTTCATCACCATTTGGCTTGAGAACCAGGTGAGTTCATGACAGGAACATGACCGAATCGAGGGATGAGCTAATTGACTAACATCAGATAGGACTATGATAAAGTTGCAATTGATGCCACTTTTAAGGATCTCAAAAGACATGGCATATTCCTTACGCGTTACTACGCGCAGACGCATCCCAGTCAGCCCAACTACATCGCTGCTATCAGCGGCGACTACTATGGTTTGAATCACGACGATATGGTGCGCATACCATCCAATGTTGCCACAGTTGTTGATCTGCTCGAGTCCAAGAACATCTCATGGGCTGGCTATTTTGAGGACATGCCTGGCCCTGGCTACATGGGCAATGCCAGCGATGGCTCAACTGGTAATGGCGCCTGGGACTACGTGAGAAAACACAAGTGCGTATTAACTTCCTTCAGTACGTAATTTGATTCATCACTAACCGTCCTAACTAGCCCCTTTGTCTCATTCGACAGCATCACCAATGAAGGCGAGCGCCTTCTGAACTTGGACTCGTTTGATGTGTTCCAGCGGGCCTTCAAGGCTCGGCAGGTCCCCCAGTTTGTTTTCATGTCACCCAACATGATGAACGATGGCCACAATACAACCCTCGAGTTCGCGACACAATGGTCGCACAAGTTCCTTGAGCCTCTTTTGGCCGATAACGCCTTCGACGAGCGCACCCTAATTATGCTCACATACGACGAATCAGAGGATTACAGCAAGCCGAACCACATAGCTACCTTGCTCTTGGGCAGCGCCATCCCGCCCAAGTTGAAGGGCACCACGGACGATACCTTTTATACCCACTACAGCATCCTGTCTACGATCGAAGCCAACTGGAAGCTCCCTCATCTGGGCCGCTACGACGTCGGAGCCAACGTCTTCCAGTTTGTTGCCGACTGGACAGGCTATACAGGCAACCGGGACCCTCCTAACGCTGCGTCGGTCAACAACTCCCTCTCCTACCCAGGGGCTCTCAATAATGATACCATGAAGGTGATTGGGATCCCTCCTCCCAATACTAAGCTCATCGGCGCTAGTGGGCTCGGAATTCTCGATCAAATCAGAGCTGAGTGGTCAATTGCCGCGACCTGGAAGACACCTTATGACGGGAGCGGCAAGGTCTTTGACGGAGACAAGAACCTGCCTGTTTATGCAGCGCCGGCACCAAATCACCAGTTATAATGTTCATAGACATATGGTCGAAGTTTGAATAGAACTCGCTTCTTTTCTTTTGCTTTTTTGTTGTCATGTCTAACTCCAACATGTCACTTGCGGGATCGGCATTTTGTGGTTTGTCAGTATCCGTTTCCCGGTTTTGGATCTGTTTCTCGTGCTACCTGTCTTTGAACCAGGACAGACCGGAGAAATCTTCCTGCGCACAGTCTTTCAGTGACGGGTCTTCCCGACCGGAAACTCCATTTCCTTGTTCTAACTGTGTGTCTCCCATTTCATGGTTTGATCATTCCCTGTCTCTCTGCCTTTCTGGCAATTGCACTTCCCACACGAAACTGTCCATCGGAGGGAAAGGCCGAGCAATCACCGCGGAGTGAGACCATGAGCTCTCAATTACCGGCGCCCCATCAAGATGTCCAGACCCATTTCCTTGCCCCAGCACTTTGATATTTTCAGTCCATTGTGGAAGTTGCGATCTACTTGACTGACCCGATACCCTCTGATCCGGCTTACTGCTAGGAGAAGGCGAGGTTGCCCCTTCTTCCGAGTCCCCTACTGTACTTTCCTCATCCCACTGACAGACTAATTCATGGCTAATCACAGTCTCTGTTTTTTACAATTTTTTGAAATTTCTACCGCACGCAGCGGACCTTCCCTCACTTCCGGGGGCGAGTTCCCATGTGCCTGTCCATCCATCGAGCCACCCAATCTCGATGTCCGAAGCTGTGGCTGGTGTTGAACTGTTGAGTCTGGAGTCTATTTAGTTACATTTTCTTTGGGTGCTAAATCACCGTAATCATTTCTTGACTCCCTAGTCGAGCAGACACTCTGGCTCTCTATCTCTCACATAGCCAAGATGCCAATCATCTGTTGTCCATTTCCCCGCCGGCTCAGGGTCAAATCTGCTGTCATTGAAGACAAACAGCATGCTACACGCGCGCGATTCTCTCCCCAACCAACCCTCGGGTCGCTCATTTACACTCGGGGGAATCCGATCGTGACTGAAGCTGCGCAGCCGTCTGAACGTGTTCAGGAACGCCCCACTCTGCAAGAAGCTGCCGGTCCCACCACTGTCATTCCCGTCGAGCCTTCAGAGCTGGCAGAACTTGTGGTGGAAGACTCTGATACCGACGACGAGCGCCAGCCAAATGCCCGTAGAAAGAGCACTGGACCACTGGAGCTTGTTAAGACTCGTATATGCCGTCACCTTTCTCAGGGGTCGCCGTCACGAGACAAGAATCGGTATTCGGCGCCACTGAGTGAAGAGGAGATTGAGAGGCGTGCTGAGCTCAAACGGTTGAGGGATCGCCGGATCCAGGAAGAACTCCGCGGCGAAGAACAAGGACTATCCAACGGGAGCATTTCTCCAAAACACCATCAACAAGCCAATGGCATCCTTCCGGGTAATATCTCTGCCCGTGGACCACGGGATGACATTGAGTTTTCTGTTACACGCAAGAGCTCGAGAACGAATACTGTGAACCTCGCTCCCTCTGTCAGAAGCGGTCCTTGCTCACCAAGCAAAGAGAAGAGCGGAACAGATTGTTGCACTAAACGCAACGGGGATGGCATCCAAAGAGATTCTCTTGACAACTGCCAGCCCAGTCACCGTTTTCTACAACAGCCCTTAACTTCCATACCGCCCTCTCCAGACCTGCAGCCTGCGCTCTCACCTTCCAGTTCTTTGGCTTCCTGGCGGTTGTCATACAATGCCGAGCGGCTTGAGGAGTACATCCGGGGCCCTCAAGGAAGCCCTGTCGCCGAAAATGTTCCCGGAACGGTATCGACAGCTACGCCGCCAGTACACGGTCCTCACAGAGCCGGGGCGGATACACCGCCGCAAATCTCCTGTGTTCCTGACGACCTTCATCCGAATTTTTCTCCAGATGTCAAGAGATCACGCACAGGAGACAGTTCGCCCATGAAACTTTGGCTTCGTAGCCAAGGCCTTGACTTATCTGTTCCTTCAACGGCTGTGACATACACCGATCCGGATCTCGACCAGGATACCGACTTACAGCAAGCCCAAGTTGTTTATTTGAAGAGACCGAATTCTACACCACACCCGGCCGTTGTACCGGAGACAGATACTCGTCGTTACGGTGTAATTCACCTTCAAGATATGGAAATTCATGAATGGCTTGCCACCAATTCTTTGAACACTCCGCAATATTCCCCTTCTCCCTCTCAGTCAATGAGAGAGAACCAGAGGCACAACGTAGCAGGACAGCAGGATTCCGGTGCTGACTCAACAGAGCCCCCAACTGACCAATCAGGTCTTCAAGCCCAGGAGCAGGTGGAAGAAAGAGCTGCTTCTTCCTTCTACCCTTCTGGCGCAGCCAGCACTCACTTGATCCAGAGTCCAAACACATCAGCTATGAATATTCCAAGCCCCCAGGCTTATCAAGAGTTTTCTTCGTTTGATTTTAAGGGTATGCCACACCAAGATCGATCACAGAACTGTCACTTACTCCTCTGCAGAATTCAATCTTTCTCTTAACTCCTACGGGCTTGATGAATCGCAACAACAAACTAATTATGCAACCTTAGCGCCCAAATCTGAGACTCAAAAGCCAGCATCTCCTTCAGGACCTGATGGGAGACTACCTGACCAGAGAATCAACACTGTTGAAAGAAGCATCAGCTACCGTCATCTTGATGACGGGACTCCTGATCTGGTGGTTCATGACTTCCCTAGATCCGCTGACAGTCCGGCCCCTCCAAGGGTGTCACGGAAGCCTTCTTTATTGGCCAAACTCCATTTGACCATTCCTCGACGGAGGACCAAGAATGTCACGCATATCTATGATGGTTCTGGTCCAACAGAGCAATCGGGGATGTCGGCAACTAGTCTTCCTATATTCCGCCCACTGTTGACTGCTACCCATGCTGCTCCGTCAGTCCTTCTCGACACCACAGCTGTGTCTTCTTATTGCGCTCAAGTTCATCATTCAAAACGGATGATCTATCGGCATTCTTCAGTCCCTAATTCGTTCTCACACAGGCAAGAAGCAACACAGCTCAGGTCAATCGCCGACACACTCACTGCTATTCCCGGGCAGGAGCAAAATGGTGGCGGCTTGGTCAGAAAGCCACTCACAGAGAAGTTTCCTGGAGTCGTCAAGCTGGGTCTGGGGAAACTCGTCTCAACGAAAGCCATGTCTCTCAAAACAATTCCTAAGATAGCTGAGCAAGATGCGAAAAGTGATGACAAGGACATAAACATCGTAGTTCCAGCTATGATCCTCGAACCCAAGTTTCCAAACGGCAACCAGCTCACGAGCAGCAACATGATACAGTCAGTTGATGTGAACGAAGCCACTCTACCACTTATCCTGCAAAACATGGAAGGCCGTGACAGCAGAGTCTCTCTCACCGCTCGCATGGCCGCATTGCTCAGCACTGATGGCTCATCTCCTGACCAACTTCAGGAAGTACAGTCCAGTTCATCGTCCGCCGGCACGCTTGTCCTTGCTACGGCTGAACGGGTTCAGTCAGAGATGAACATAACCAGTCCAGCTCGCGCCCACAGAGAAGAGTCCTCTGCTACAACAACTACCACTGCCACAAACAATTTCGTTACACCCATGAGTTCCATGCGCCATAGCAACAACGACTCGTCGTATCATTCCTACCCGGATCGGAGCACGCCTACTCCACGTGAAGAGCAAGCTGTGGCTGGGGAGGGCCAGCCCGAAGGCGATGTCAGATCTGGAACAGGCAAGGATGTTGACGAGGAGGGAAGAGAGACTGAGAGTGAGATGAACTCTCCTTCTATCAGGAGTGACACAGCTATCGACATGGTGAAAGCTGGTGTCCGTCGTCGGGCTCAGGGGCTCGAAGCGCCTATCTCATTTTCTGTCCCTGATGCTTTGGGGATGGAGGTTGTTCATTGATGAAATGGAGAGTTTTCGTGTCTCTCTAATATAGGGGCTGACTGTAAGAGGATGGTGAGTGAAAATGAAAGAATTATAGGTCAGGTAGGTACGCAGGTAGTCTTAGTTCGGGTTATCTATGGGCAGTCTAGGCTCATGAACCACAAAGGCTGGAGGTAAAAATCGCCAGAGAGGGCAGTGAGAAGAAACGAAGTGTTTCATCAGCTTTTCGTTAGCTATTCCATATTCTTAGTTTCAGTGGTTCATCCAATTTGTAATTCAGCTGTTTCTGTACCAACAAGATATTGTTTGAAACGCTTAATATTGGATGCATTCCTAGGATAAACCGCGCTCATGATTCATTCTCGTGCCGCCGAATCAAGCATGAAAGCTGCTCGTCAATGTTCAGTTTGTCATCACTGTTATCATTGCAACTAAGACAAATTGTAACTCATTGCAAAGGATACTTCGCAAAATCCAAGAAAGGTCCCCAAACCCAACGCCCTCACAAAACCAAGACCCAAAACCGACCTAGCGAATTGGCAACGCACATACACACATATCGACATGTATTGGTGAACAGAAACGTAAAATCCCATCAAGTCCCACCGAGGTTCAAATTGAATGAGACAGAAAGCCCACCAGTTCCCAGTTTCAGTCCCTGATTTTGCTCTTTCCCACTTTGCCCCTCCATGTCAGGGGAGGGAAGGAGCGATGTGAAACACACGGCTACATGTTCATGCTTCGTGTTTCCAGCGACTCGTCCAGATTTCTCTTTATTCCTGCCAGTGAAACAAACAGTCGGATTGATAACCACCAAAGTTCAGTAAAAGAACGTGCTGTACTTTGCGGTGAGTGAAAAAGCAAACTTATCAGACGAAAATATCAAGATGATAAAAATCATCGATATGGCCTTCATATAACTAGAACGAAGAGAGAAAAATAACAATAAATTTGAGAAATCAATATGGAATATAACACAGTTTCAAAAAAAAGGGAATGGGGGATTGAAACGTAAGAAAATACTCCATAAATATGTGGTGGCTCGTATGAAAAATAGCAACCAAACATAAACATTCTGCCTGTCCCTCCCTGTGGAACTAGCAATATCAATAGAGATATCAATTGTCAACCCAGCGCCATCATGAATCCCAACTCGTAGTCCCATAACTCCAGAGCCGAGTTGTCATCTCAAGTAAAGGGGGATCACTGATCCCTTGGGCTTGTGTCGATGTCCAGCATAGAAACAAAAGGAACAAGAGTCGCAAAGTCGTTGGCAGTTGGCGTTATCGCAGTGGTCCACCGTCACCGATAGAGAAGTAAAACTCCTTCAAGCGCCGTTTCTCGCGTACGGCTTATTCAGCGCGGCAATCTCGCGGGCAATCTCGGCCCACTCCATCTCCCTCTTAAAACCCCCTTCCTGGGAACAATCGCTGTCTCCGGAGCAATCACTTCCCGAACAGTCACCGTAACCATCACAATCCATCTCCCCATTAATGGAAGCAGAAGCGCCGAAGTTCGACTTAAGCTTCAACTTCTCCTCCCACTTCAGCAGTTCATACGTAAACCGCAGGTTAGGTTGGATAATGACGTTCAGTCGGCGGGCTCGCACAAAGCAGTATGCCCGCGGGAATGATAGGCGCATGCTCCGCATCACTTCGGCGATGCAGATCGTTGCGCTGCGCGAGACGCCCACGCGGCAGTGTACGAGGGTTGCTTTTCCGGATTTGCGACCGCGGTCTGCACAGACAGCAGTTAGACGGATGTTAGGGGAGGAGTGATATTATTATTATTATTATTATTATTATTATTTATAGAAATAAAGAGAAAAGGCGTTAGGGGGGGGTGGGAAGGGAGGAAGGAAGAAGAGAAGAACGTACCAATAAACCACAAGCACCGCTCAAACATCTCGTCGAGAGCATCCATCCCATTATCCTGCACGCCCTGAATCAGACACGTATTTTCCGGGCCCCATTCCCGCAAGGTCTCTGCGCTCCATTCAACACTCTCGCCCACGCTCAGGATCTGCCCGATCCCCAGCTTGCGCAGCAGCTCCGGGTTGTTGGCGTGCCCCAGGTTGCCAAGATACATGTAATCTGTGATACGACTCGGGAAGGACCCGTCGAATTGGACGAACCAGGCCGGTTCATCGTACACCACTGGGATGGGGCGCTCGAGACTCGCGGTAACGGGGGATTCTCTGAGTAGACGGGAGCCCAGGAAGGAGAGCAGGAAGGCGTCGGTGGGGTAGGCAAACATGTTGCGGCCGAGCTGGGTGTGCAGGGTAAGCCAGGAATCGTAGACCGGGGTCCCGGTGCTGTAAGCATGATAGGCGACGGCGAGCAAGGTTGACTCGGTGTACCCGTCTGCACAATGGATCAGGACTTTGTGGCCGAGGTTGGCGATTTCCATGATCCATTTGAGGGATTCGATGAACGCATCAAACTCGCCGGAGACGCTGTTCGAGACTAAGAGGCTGCCGGAGGAGGGGAAGTCGGCTTGGTACTGAACCTTCAGAGATCCCTTGGCGATCATGCCGAATATGTACTCCAAGTTCTTGGGGTTCAGCCGGCCGATGTCGCTGCACTCGATGAGAAGAGCATAGCCGTGCTGGTCCGGGGAGCCGTGCTCGGGGGTGGGGCCAAGCCAGACGTTATGAGAAATCTCAGACGCGCGCGCCATCTCGTACATCTCGCGGCGTTCTTGGTGGGCAAAGTCGAAGACACGGCCGGTCGGGTTGCCTAGGGAGTTGACAGCGATGAGCTCGGGGTGGTACATTTCGAACTCGGACCAGGGGCTGACGCAGATGAAGGTGTTGTAGCGGGGGAGGGGATGATGAGGGTCGTTGTGCTCCTCGCGCCAGCGCATCTGGGCCACGGCGATCTCCCACGCAAGTTTGCGCACGGCGACGTCGTCGGCGCCGTAGACGATGATATCGGATGTGGTGGCCATCTTGGCCGTCTGGATATGGAAATTACGGGCCGAGAAGCCCTCCTTGGGGTCGAGATCGAGGAAGTCGGCGACGCCCGCGCCCATGAGGAGGATTTCGTGGGGAGCGACGGCTCCCTTGAGCCGGGCCACAGACAGATCGCCGTCTGCCTTGACAATAGTTATGCCTCGAAGGCATGCGGGAGTCTTCCTCGTCGACCGTCGCCTGGCATTCACAAACGCTTGCTGGAGATGGTTGGAAGGATGCAAGCCGTGCAGCCAGGGGAAGACCTGCGATGGGTCGGGAAGCGGCTGCTGGGCATGGTAGTGAACCGCAGCAGCAATATCAGCGGCACTCAACATGTATATGGCCAGCTGGCCCATGGCAAGGCAGCGATACCGGTCGGGAGGGTACAGCAGCGATTTCTGGACCTGGTGGTGCTCGCTGGGAGGGGACGGCGGCGGCGTTGTCGGCCCCTCACGTGGTATGGGACCGGGCGGGCAGATGGGAATGTGTTTATTGGGCACGGGAGATGGACATGGCGTCGGATCTCGTGAGTCCCTGCTGTCGAGAGTGAGGTTGGAGGATGAGCTGTGGGGGGTAATGGGCCTCGAGAGGGTGATGGTAGCCATGATGGCGCCAGTGAAGAGACCCAGTACCGGGAAGACAAAGGATGTTGCTGAACTCAAAGTGCCGCTGTTGTTATTAATCGGAAGTGCGTGGCATCAAAGGTTGCGAGAGCAGGGAGAAGATGATACCGTGGTATATATCAAAGGAGGGGCAGATTTTGTTCAGATGTCGAAGAGCTTCTTTCTTAGGTTACAACGAAGCTAGCTGCGGCAGTCGTAGAACACGTTAAAGCAATCGAATATGGCCAGTATAGCCGCAATGATGATGATGGCAGGCGATTCACATGGGATACTAGAATGGATGATTCACGGGCTAGTTGATCAAGTCAAGATGATGTTAAGATATTGATCGCGTTGGTACTGGGCTGTCTGTTGAAGATACCCCGAGGGAGGACAACTGGAGGATAGAAAAAAAGCAAGGAGAGCAGATGAAGTTGGCTGGCCCCGAGCAGGAGTTAAAGTAAGGGGAAGGATCACGGTTGCGACAGCCTTATCGGCGATCCCTGCTTCGGAGAGGTTGTGGGAGCAGGTATCCGTCCCGTATGCGAAATAGCAATCCAGCTCCGAGAGTACTTTGTGGCACGGATCTGTACGCGGTAGCGTGAAGACGACCGGTTATTGGGCGCAATGAAGGGTGCACAAGCAGGACCAAGCAGGGGTTGGCCAGGTGCGGGAGCAGATAAGGCAGCGGGGGACCGTCAACGGTGGATGAGAGATGGCGTCAGATGGTCCGCCAGTGGGAAATCGAGAGCGACGGTAGCCTGTTGAGAAGAATGATGAGGAGAATGGAGGAGGTAGAGATGATAGGGCCGCACAGTGGTCCGGGTTGAGATGGGTCTGGGGTCAAGATCCGGGATCTCGGAACTTGGAATCTTGGTGTTGGATCCAGACCAGACTGTCAAGAGAAAAAAAAAAAACAACGGCACGTGCAAAGAGCGACACGGCTTACGACAGGGAAAAAGAACAATAGGAGCACAGATTATCGGCACGGAGTAGCGACGGAAGGCCTACGCTCTAACGCATTACATAGTACGGCAATGAAGGCAGAGAATCGCAGCCATGGACGACGGCGACGGCATGGCCGGCCCAATTAAACTCAATCCTCCGATGCTGTTGTAGTCGCTCGCGAAATGGCCCGACAAGTCTGGCGATGGATCATGGAAGCCGTCACGGGCCGTGTCAGCGTCGCGGATGAGACGTGGATCGGCAGTCGGCGCCATTGCCAGTTACACCCGGACTGTCTTGTGCTCTGGTGCCGGTGGCCTGAGAACATGCCACCATGTCTCCATGCATTCATACACTCTTCAATTGGTCTCAATCTCGCTGTTCCCGTGTTGCGGCGTTTCTCCCATTCTGCAGACAGACATGTAGAGCGGCGCGACGACAATGAAACAATTCATGTCCGTCACTGAAACTCCCCCACAGTAGGCAGTGGGATGGGTAAGGTAGTGCGGGTGGGAGAGCTCTCGCCTGCTGCAGCCCACCAGCGCCTGGAGCTTTTTCGTCTACAGGTCTGCGGGGACTCGGCTCCACCAGGCCCGTCGTGAGGTGAGTGGAGACAATTCTTGGCACGCTTGCGGCCTTGTCATTGGGCTCTTGGCTCCACCGCCCGGTACGCCTCACATGCATTTCAGCCAATGGGAACGTGCTGGATGTGCCCCGCCACCCCTCCAAGTTGGGTCGTCGGTTGTGGTTGGATGTGGGCAGTCACCGGTTTTCAGTCGACCGACCGCTGTGTGAAGAGTCATTTTCCAGAGATGGTGGTCACCAACTTTGCACAGCCAACAGCATGATAAGCTTGCGCTTTTTGATCTGTGCAGCTGCTGAGTAATTTGTGTGTCTCCTTGGAATTATTTGACAGAGATCGATCGACTGGGCGCTGAGTACGCGATGCATGGAAAGGTGTCCAGGTAAGAAAGCGAAAGATGATGTCACTCAAATTGGTCAATGGTCGCAAATCTCTCAAGAGCCCAGATGTCCATTGATTCATCAGCCATGCGACAACATCCTCCAGTTAGTTTCTGTCGATGGATTTCCAAGCTCGTCGACCGACCTGCCGTTGTAAATTTAGCAGTGCGGTGCATTCGAGTCAATGGTTAGCAGTGCGGCAATGTCCGTGACTTCACTTCCTTCTGTCCCAACATCCAGGCCAGCGGATGCCGGATCCACGGCGGCGACCAGAGATCATCGTCTATGAGTCGAAAAAAAAAAAATTAGACTCTGGGCCTGCTTCAAATGTGATGGAAGTAACAGTGGGCAATTGTTGAAAGTCAGGTAAACGCCGCAGGATGGAAAATAACATGTAATTTGAGGACATCCGTCGAGGATAAGTTTGCAGACTCCTTTGTCTTCAACCCCTGTTGTGGGTTTTGTTTACCTTGAATATTATTGATACCTGTATCGTCACTGACTTCAAATCGAAACATCATGGCCAATTCGCCGCCGGAGTCGCCATTATGCAGCCTTGACTCTTGTGGCAGCAGCGGCCGACCCGCCATCCCGGGCGTCCAGGGGCTTAAGGCGTCTCATTGAGTGCGGGGCAAATTTCTGGACCCAGCAGCTTTTTTGTCGCCCCGCCGCCGATCGTCGGCCTTGAGCCCTTGACATTTTAATTATCGACACAACATCGCCGTCTTTCAGCCTGTGACTCTTTCACGTCCATTCCAGCCTGCCTGCCTCGCTCCCTCTCTTCCTCTCTCCCTATCTCCCTCTCTCACTCTCTCAGCGCTGTCGCTCGCCCGCTCCTTTGCTTGACGATCGATTGGGTTTGCTAGCCCAGCAACCAAACGCTCTCTTCGACGACCCGGACGAAGAAAGAAAGGAAAAACAAAGGCAAAAAGCAGCAACAATGTCCGAGACCAACGGCATCACAGCCAACGGCGTGTCTGAGCAGACGCACACCCCGTCGCAGCGCTACCTCAGCACTCGCGGTGAAGACAGTGGTCTCTCCTTCGAGGAGGTAGTCCTGAAGGGCCTGGCTACCGATGGTGGCCTGTACATTCCCGAAGAGATCCCCCAGGCTGCCGACTGGCAGTCGTGGAAGGATCTCTCCTTCGTCGACCTCGCCTTCAACATCCTTTCGCTCTACATCTCTCCCGCCGAGATCCCTCCCGCCGACCTCAAGGACATAATCCAACGCAGCTATGCCACCTTCCGGTCAGAGCAGGTCACCCCTCTGATCCACCTCAAGGACAACATTCACCTGCTCGAGCTGTTCCACGGCCCGACCTTTGCCTTCAAGGACGTCGCCCTGCAGTTCCTAGGCAACCTGTTCGAGTACTTCCTCGTGCGCCGCAACGCCGGCAAGACTGGCCGCGACCGGTACCACCTGACCGTCGTAGGCGCTACCAGCGGTGACACCGGGTCGGCCGCCATCTACGGCCTGCGCGGCAAGAAGGACGTCTCTGTCTTCATGCTGCACCCCAAGGGCCGCGTCAGCCCCATCCAGGAGCTGCAGATGACCACCGTGCTGGATGCCAACGTCCACAACCTGGCCGTCGCCGGCAACTTCGACAATTGCCAGGACATCGTTAAGGCGCTCTTCGCCGACCCAGAGATTAACGCCACCCACCGCTTGGGCGCCGTCAACTCCATCAACTGGGCTCGTATCCTCGCCCAGACGGTCTACTACTTTCACTCCTACTTCGCGCTGGCTCGCTCGCCCGCTGCCCCCTCCGGCTTCAAGCTTGGCGACAAGGTCCGCTTCTCCGTGCCTTCCGGCAACTTCGGCGACATCCTCGCCGGCTACTTTGCCTACCGCATGGGCCTGCCCGTCGACAAGCTCATCGTCGCAACCAACGAGAACGACATCCTCGACCGCTTTTTCAAGACGGGTCGCTACGAGAAGAACACCTCGTCCAACTCCGCCGACCCCGTCAAGGAGACCCTCTCCCCCGCCATGGACATCCTCGTCTCGAGCAACTTCGAGCGTCTCCTGTGGTTCCTCGCATACGAATTTGCCGCAACCGCCGGCCTCGACGACGCCTGGAACAAGAAGCAAGCTGGGCAAGAAGTCTCGGTCTGGCTGCGCGATCTCAAGACTAAAGGCGGCTTCGGCCCCGTGCACGACGACATCCTCTCCGCAGGCCGCCGCACTTTTGAGTCCGAACGTGTCAGCGACGAGGAGACGTTGGCCACCATCCGCGATTTGTACCGGCAGGTCGGGTACGTGTTGGACCCCCACACGGCCGTGGGTGTCGAGGCGGCGCGCAGGTCGGCCACGAGGACGCCCGAGGGCGTGCCCATTATTTCGCTGTCGACGGCGCACCCGGCTAAGTTTGCGGGGGCAGTGAACCTGGCTCTGAAGGACGAGGAGGGGTTCGATTTCGAGGCGAAGGTGTTGCCACCTGAGTTCGTGGGGCTGGATAAGAAGGAGAAGAGGGTGCAGGATGTGGCGAATGATTGGAAAGCTGTGAGGGATGTGGTAAGGGCGGGCGTTGAGGAGGAACTCAAGGCTGCCGAGGCTAGCTCATAAGACGAGCTGGTCGGTCCATCTGTTCCTTTTTTGCATATGCTATTGTATCTTGTTCTTATGTACACATTTTGAGGGCAGCGTTTCTTGGTTTAAATTTTTTTTTGGATGGCATGGATGGAATGCACTAAGCGAGCTGAGCCTCTTGCATATAGGGAGAATCAAGATACCAGACTTGCTGGGCACAAGCACAGTATTGCATTGCTGATACCAGCTTGAATTTGGATCGACCGAACGAGGTTGATTTTGGTATTAAACATAGACGGAAGTAGGGTAGGAAAAAAACCGAGGTTCTTGGTCTACGCTGATGATCCCCTGTGATGTTTGATCAACAGGTAAGTGAATTTGGGTATGAAAGCATCGCTTTCATTCCACCTAATACCACTAATACCGTATACAAAAGAACCCCCCTCCCCAACTCTCCCAACTCTTGGATGGATGGATGGATGGATGGATGATCTATGAGCCATCTAGACACACTATCCTGTCCATGCAATTTAATCTCCCTCTCCCTTCGCTTGACAAGCGCCGCTTGAATCAAGCTAGGCAGGTATAATGCTTCTCTCGCCGAGATCCCCCGGGTGCCTGATGAATGTGACAGAACCCTCAACAGACGTGAAAATAGTTGAATAGAAAGGGATGAAACGGATATATAATTTGACACCAATAAGAAGAAAGCCAACTCAACTCAACTCAACAAAACATCACCTCTTTCCTCACATGCTTCATTGCCTTCGAGTCTAGTTCTCCTGTCCTCCACCTCCCACAAGTGCCTCATGCCTGGAGGGCAAGGAGCATTTTTCCACTCCCCTCACTTGCACGGCTCACTAATATCTATAACTTCATCAACATAGTCCTCATGAAAACATTCGTGCTCCTAGTCATCCTCCTCCTCCTCTTCCTCTTTCTCCTCCACAGAATTCTCATCTTGATTCTTATCAGGCAGCAATTCAATAAGCGCATTGAACACTAACTTTATGGTCTCGTAGTCCATGGCTTCAAAGTCCAGCTGCATGAGTTTGTCTATGTCCAGGGGGTCATCCAAGTCTAGGTCCGTGACATTTAACTCTTCGGCGTTATCGCCATCCAAATCATTGATGAAAAGCGTATCCTCGCCTTTGTTGTTGTTGTTGTTGTTGTTGTTGTTGTTGTTGTTGTCGTTGTCATTATCCTCACCGTCGTCGTCGACCATGGGTTTGGTGCAGTTAAGTCCTCTCTGGCAGAATCTGGACGGTCTTCCAAGGACAAGGTTCCTCGTCTTCGCTGCCGTCGTTGTAACTATTTCTTGACGACGTTACTTGCTGATCAATCTCCATACGCGTTCCAGCACGCTGTCTTGCTCGCTTTCCTCATCGACAATGTTAGCCCTTCCTTATTGCGCATCCTCTCCGACCATCCTGATGCAGGTTAGGGTATCTCGTCTATCATTGTTTTTGGTTGTTCGACCATTGTCATCTCTTCCCTCATGACCACAAGCATTGTCATTATCACAACTAACAGCATAAGCTGCCAGGTTAGCAGGTTTTGGTTGCTCTTACACTTCTTGCTGGCACAGCATAGTAGTAGCTTGCCACACCAGACACTCTGCACACCCAACCTCGCAACCTGGGGCCAGCCGTTGAAGCTCATTAACGCTCCCCTGAGCTCGTGACACCCGGTGGTTGTGGTCAATTCCACTGTTTACATTGTTGCTTCCCTGATCTCCTTCATAATGCCGACTAGTCAATCGTCGGTGCTGTTGCTGTGGTGTTGGCAAGTGATACTGCTGTTGCTGCTGCAAAAGGAGAAATTCCCATTCCTAAAGGAAGTAGTCGCCAGCGCCACGGCGGTTGCCAGGGGTATGGCGCTGGTCGTCGGGGACGGCGGAGAAGATGCTGAACTTGGTGCGATGGTCACGGTCAACAGTCATGATGGAGGCCACGTTGCCGCAGCGGTAGCAGTAGTTGGGGGCGGACCAGACAGTGACGACGGATTTTTCGGGAAAATGATACTGAGCGAGATTAGCCGTGAGGGTCTTGTAAACGCAGAGAGAGAAGTGGGCATTCACCTTGTATCCTTCATTCACCAGTTGGTGAGCACGAGCGATGGTGGTTAATCCATTGACATGGTTGAATTCATTAGCAACCTTATTGCCGAACAGCCAACCAGCACCACGAGGGCTGACTGCCCAGGTCTCAATATCTTCCGGATCACTCCAAACCAGATCACAGAATGCTCCTTCATGGGGTATTTCTTGTGCCCGCGCAACGACGCGAATTTGATCGATAGTACGAATTTCTGGGCTGAGGCCACCGTGCACACACAGCACGGTACCATCAACAATGGCAGCCAGGACGAGGAAGTCAAAGACCTGGCAGCATGCCTTCCACACGGAGGCATTACCATATTTTTGCTGGCATTCTTCGTAGAAGCCATATACTTGTGTTATTTGTCGAGATTCATGGTTGCCCCGTACTAGGACTATCCTGTCGGGATATCTGAAAAAAAATATTAGCGCAACTGGGCTTCTTATGCTGGGCTCTGGCCACTAGATCTTACTTGGCCTTCAAACACATCAACAATGTAAATGTTTCCAAACTGAAGTATCCGCGATCGACAAAGTCTCCAAGGAACACAAAACGGGTCTCAACAGACTGGGAACCTGAATCAGCAGGACGAGGGGCCGTAGGCGCACTATTGGCCTCATCCTCTGCCTCAGCCGCCGCCTCATCATCACCAGCACCGCTGGGCCCGGAAGCCTTTGTTTTTCCGTTCGCTTGTACTTTGGAGTCGAGATCATCTTCCGTGATGACAGTTGTGCTTGTGCAAGGAGGCTGGACATTGGACTCTCCGGGCATGCCACCGGCAACACGGAACAGCTCAAGAAGGTCGTAAAACTGGCCGTGGATATCACCACAAATGGTGACGGGAGTGACGACAGGCTGGATGTTGGACTCCTCCATAAGAACCTCCTTGACCATCTCGCAGAGTTGCTTCATGACTGGCTCGGGCAGATAGTGGCACTGCTTGGCCTCTTCGAGCCATTCGTCCAGGCCAGCACCCGGACGGAGGTTGGCCGGGCCCGGCTTCGGTGTGGCAGCCATTGGGGCAGGGGGAACAAATATTTCAGCAAGTTGAAGGGCGTAACAGGGGTGTGAGGCACAGAGGGAAGTCGAAAAACTTGAAGTAGAGAGAAAGAGGGAAAAAAAAAAATCAAAGGCGTTTTCCCCTACCCCACGACGGGATGGCTTGCGATGACTATCGGATCTGGAGTGGTGGGAGAGTTCAGAAGATTTGTTGGGACTTGATTTTGAGCCAAACTAAGGGCATCTGCGAAAGAGTTATTTTGTTTGATTTGGGCTGGGGTAGTACGAGGCGTGCTTGACATGCATGCAGCCAGGACCTGTGGACGTCGTCAATACCAGGTAATCGTTATCTGACCAGACTCGAAGGGAGATGCTTCAGCACACACGCGCACACGCAAGCCGCCCATTCACCTGCTGCGGGGATGGTAAGGCCGCCCACACGGCGCCAGGGCCACATTCCAGCCCAGTGCCCCACACGGTCTGGTGGAGCGCGATGGACCAGGGCCGAGCCCCACGTCCCAAGCGCTGAGCAGCTGACAGATGCCAAGACTTGCTTCCATCCGATAACAGACCCCACAAGGTTATCGTCGATTTCCTGGGAGCTGCAATGATGAGCGAGGGTGAAGCGCATGCTCTCACCATCGCCGACCGGGCCATAATATAAAGGGTTGCCAACCACATCTTTACCTCCCTGAGGGCAATGAGGCGTATTTAAAGAGCAGGCCAGATTTCCTTTTCGCCCTCAGCTGTGGTAGTCCGCTTAAAGTTGTGCTCCGCCATTACAATTGCTTCCAAATCCTGATTCCTGAACCCCACGTCACACAACCTGGAAGCGTAAGACACTTGGTGGAAGACAACCTCCTTTTTGCCCTCATCAGCTCTTTGATCAATCTGATTCATAGATAAACAAGCCAAACGACAACAGATTGAGGCACCCAGGCACCAAACATCGATGGCCACTCCAGTCCTACTTTCGAGAAGAGCGAACGGCGCCACGGCCACCCAGACCAACGATGAGTCTAAGGCACCCAAGGCGAAGCCGCCTCCTCAAGGCGAGAAGATAGTCATCCGTCGCTTGCCCCCAGGGATGACGGAGGATGAGTTTCTGAAGATCTTGGGCGACGAGTGGAAGCCGGGAAACGGTAAAGTCGACTGGCTCACCTTCTGGCCAGGCAAGGTCTCGCAGCAGTATGTCATAATGATTCCGTCTCTTATGCTCCACATGCTGACGTTCCATATCCAGTCCATCAAAACCATCACGACCTGCACGTGCCTATCTCCATGTGATTCAAAGGGACCTGTTGCCAGCACTGCTACAGACAGTGCAGGGGGCGAAATGGGAGGATGCTAAAGCAACGTGGGACGATCCCGCTTTGATCTCACCCCCTACTGTCGAATTTGCGGTCTACAAAAAGATCCCCGGCGACAAGAAGCGAGTAGATAGCAAGCAAGGTACCATCGACTCTGACCCCGAGTTCATGGCCTTCCTCGAGGCTCTCGCGAATCCAGATGCTGTCAAGGAAACCCGTCCTGAGCTTGAGACAAGTGCCGAGGAGGCTGCCAAGAATGCAGTGGTCACTACGACGCCGCTTATCGAATATCTTAAGGAGAAGCGAGCGGCCAAAGCAAAGGAACTCGCTGCAGCGAAGAGCGCCGCCAAACATGCTCGTCAGGAGTCGCAGAATACAAAGGGCAAGGGCGCTGCTGCGGCGGATGATTCCAAGAAGAAGTCGAAGGATGGGAGGGGCGACAGAGACAGAGACAGAGACAGAGATCGTGACAGGGATAGGGATAGGGATAGGGATCGCGACAGAGAGTCGGAGAGGAAACCTAAAGAGTCGGTCAAGATTCTCACAAAGAAGGCTGCGTCCGAGGCCGCGAACAAGAAAGCTGTTGCCGCTGCTGAAGCCGCTGCTGAGGCTGCCAAAGCAGCTGCCGCGCAACTCCAACAGGCTTCGCAGCAGAATGAGAAGCCCAGTGCGACAGAGCCTCTGCCCAAGAATCGCAAAGCTGGAATCGCCAACGCGGCACGCATCTTACAGCGCGATCTTGGTCTTGCTCCAGCTAAATCTGCTCGAAAGGCCCGCCAAGAAGCCGCTAAGTCCGAAGCAGAGAGCAAGTCGACTCCGTCACCGAAACAGGGCAAGGAGGTATCCTCGAAGGAGGCGACGCCGGCCTCTCCAGCTCCGGCTGCGACACATACCCCTCCATCTGCTCAGCCCTCGTCATCACCAACGCATGAAAAAGGACCGTCGTCCACACCTGCAGGCAAAGGCCGCGGCAAGAAGCGCGGTGGTGGTCCTGGCGGGGGTGACGATGACAACAAACCTAAGACGAACCCGAAGAAAGACAATAAGGGGGAGAAGTCTAGCGAACAGGTACCACCAAAACCGACCATGATTCTCAAAAAGAACAAGGATTCTCAGCATCAACAGCAACAGAATACTTCCCCATCACAGGCTCAACCACAACACTCAACAAACCAACCTCAGCAGCAACAGCAGCAACGCCCTTCTACACAAGCCAACAAACCCCAATCCCCGAACAACCCCAAAAATACCGGCGGCGGGGGCGGCGGTGGTCAAAACCCAAAAAAGAACGAAAAACAGAATCAAACAGCCAACCAGAATGCCAACCCCCCCTCCCAGCAGTCATCAACCCCAACTCCTGGCGCAACCCGCGCTTTCATTAAGCACGCCCCCGCCTCGCAAGGCGTAACCGACGTTCTCCTGCGCGAAGCCCTCTCCGCCTTCGGCACCGTCACATCAGTCGAGATCGCCGACCGCAAGAAGGGCTTCGCCTATGTCGATTTTGCGGAGCCCTCCGGCCTAGCGAAAGCCATGGCCGCAAGTCCGGTTGCTGTGGCGCAGGCGATGGTGACGGTGTTGGAGAGGAGGGAGATGGCGGGGAAGAAGGGTAAGGGGGAAAGGGAGAAAGAGGGGGGGAAGAAGGATGGGCAGGGGCATGGAAAGGACAAAGGGGAGAGGGAGAGGGAAAAGAAGGGGCGGGATCAGAAGGGGGAGAATAATGAAGAGGAGAAGGAGAAGGAGAGGGAGAAGGAGAAGGAGAAAGAGAAGGAGAAAGAGAAGGAGAAAGAGAAGGAGAAAGAGAAGGAGAAAGAGAAGGAGAAGCAGAAGCAGAAGGAAAACAAAGCTGTTGTGGCTGCGGCGGGGGGGGAAGGCCAACAGCAGCAGGGTCAAGCTCAAGGACAGGGTCAGGGACAGCATAAGCGCGGCGGTCGGCGTCGTGGTGGTAGGGGAAGAGAGAAGGATGGTAAGGAGGGAGGTAAAGAAGGTGGTGGTGAGGGTAAGGAGTCTGGGGGTAGAGGTGGCAGCGGTCATCATGGTGGGAAAGATGGGTCTGGGAAGAAAGGAGGTGCTGAGGGGGCTGCTGCTAAGGGAGCACCGGCTGATAACAGTTCGTAGGTTGGGGATGGCAAGCCGAATAAGGTACATGAGCTGATGGTTATTTAATAATATTTGAGGGGAGTAATGGAGGGTCATAGACACTGGTATATGAATCATCTTCTCATATCTTTAGCTGACGCTTTTCGTGAAGCTTTGTGCTCGAGTGACCTCATTCATCAGCGCATTTTTTTAAAACTCACTTGGGAACGTTTTTGATGATCATCGACTTTGGACTTCCAGCCAAATATGGAGAGGTAAGAGAACCAGCACAGAAGCCATCATGAGACGCAAGAGGGAATCAACAAACAGCAAACCGAACTAGAAGACTATAAAAGGCCCGAAAATCATCACAACAGAAACAGTACAGCACTTTCTCATCATCCCAGAAACCATGACTCCTGATTACTGTGAGGTACCCATCCCTACTGACTGACAGCTAAGTGAAACTCCAAGGGAAAAAAGAACCCACTAACCCCTCAACACCTAAAACACCATAGAGTCCGAAGCGCAGACCAATCCTGTGGGTTACCCTGCCTGTAACAACAGCCTACCACACCCACCTTCCCAAGTCCTTTGTTTTACGATAATCAAGCCGCTACCTAGGTGCGTAATTCCACTACCCCGTTGGAAGTGTTCTGATCTGAAATTTGGATTGTAGACTCGGCAGCAAGAGTGTTTAGAATTGCCTGTGAGCAAGCCGGGTTAAAGATATCGAATAAAATCCATCCCTGGATCACCCTCATGGAAGACTGAGTGCCCAACTCAGATTGCTGTCGACGCGCCGTTTTTATGTCTTGTTCCGAAAAGGGTCAAAAAGCTAGGTTCACGGTCAACAGTTAAGCCCCGGCAGCCTACCTCATGACGATGCTTGACGCCGAAATCCCGCTCAAGCCGTCACACGCCATAAGCCGAAGCATCCAACTTTTCCTCCGGATCCAGGACGCTACGGATAGTTCCATCAGTACACAACCTCGTAACACAGCAGAAAAATCTCAATCCACATACGAGACGAACTTGACCAGCGGACACTCGCCGCCCCGCTGCATATCAATGTTATACACATAGAAGTGACCGTCGCTAGTCACAACCATGACCTGGGGCGAGCTACTGCTCATAGCGACGACGCTGCGCAGGGGCGCCGAGGATCCGCCCATCAGGGCGCCGCTACGACCTCCGTTCTGATGGGGCCGCGGGATCTTGAAGCTGGCGAAATCGCGTTGTGGGTCGAACATCTCTGTGACGGACTGCGGCAGGTAGGAGCCAACGGCACCGGCGACGCTACGCCCGACGAGTTGAGATGATCGGCGAAGAAGGCTGCCGAAGCTGCCGCTTGACCGCTTGCTGCTGGTTCCGTTGTTGTTTGGGGACGGCTCGCCAACTTCGCCTACGCTGCTGCCGGGGTAGTCGGTACTGTCGACGCTGAGAGAGCGGGACCAGCGGTTGGCACGGGGCGAACTGGGTATGTCGGCGTCTCTGCTAGCGGCCGAGCTGGCTGTCTGGGGGGTGACTAGGCGGAAGATGTGGACGGTTTCCGAGGCGGATGAGACGCATAGCAAGGTAGAGCTTAGGTTGAAGGACATGCTGTAAATGGTCGAGGGATAGGTGCCACGGCGGAATTGGTAGAGCTTCTGGCCGCTAGGGACAGCGAAGACACGGATGATGGTGCCGGTTTCAGAGGCGGTTGCTAAGAGGTTGCCATCGCTGTTGAGGGCGACACAGCAAAGGGGAGACTTGTGGGCTTCGATGACGGTTACTGCCTTTAAGGTTAAAGCATCGAAAATGAGGACTTCACCCGAGGTAGGAGGGACGTAGGTCGACAGTGGAGGAGCATGAGCCGGTCGCCTCTCGCCGTTGTCTTCCCGAGCCTTGGGTAGGGGGTAAGCAATGTAGCAGCGCTCCGATGATGGCGACAGGGCAAAGATGGCATTCGGATTAGGGGAAGTCGCAATTGTCGACACCAAAGCCATGTTCGAGATGTCGTACAAGTAGATCTCCTCCTCAAGAACAACGGCTAGACGCTTTCTGTTGAGTCGCACGGCGAGAACGGCGGAAGGGAAGGTTAGCTCGCAAATGACGGAGCCGCGCTGCGTACACCATTTTCGTAAGTCATCTGCTCGACTCGCTGAAGGAGGAATCACGACGAACCTTTGTGTTCTGGATGACCAGATGTCGCGGTGACAAGACCAGGGCCACCAGGGACGTGGAAAAGAGCATCTCGATGATGGAGACATGGCCATCTTCACTATTGAATACCTTGGCAAAAGGCTCGGTGTGGAAGATACGGAAGCCTTTCGAGGTAGCCACAGCAAGACAGCTGTGGTCTTGGTTGAAGGTGACATAATTCAATGTCGCAGCCATTCTGGCGGCTGGCCGACAAGAGACGCGCGCGGCCTCTCTCGGTTTGAATGACGACGGCGCTACAAGCGCCGGTGAGGTCAGGGTTGGGAAGTGTTGGCCGTTGGAGAGAAGCGGGGTTTGTAGATATTCGGGTTATTGCCGCCTGTTATTTCACAATTGGATAGGTTTTGAAGTGGGAGTTCAAAGGGCTGTAGGTTGCGGAAGCCTTAGGGGTTTCGACAAGCGGACAGTCACACCAAAGCAGACGTCCTGTGCGGCAGGCGCCGACAATGACAACAAGCTAGCGCGGAGGTCTGTCAAAGGCGCAAGCGATTCGATTTGATCCGTTGTGCGAGGTGTCCTGAAGCAGACCTCTCGAGTCCGTGTTCAGGCCGCCTGCCAGCGCACTTGCTTCGCCCATGCGATGGCAGATCACGGGGAGATTGGGAAAGATTGGGGAGTCATAAGCAAGTGGTTGGATTTGGGAAACGGCGGTCGAACTGGAAGCAGAATCGTGACCACCACGCGGGAGTGGAGTGGCATCGGCGGAGCTTAACGGCAGTGCTGACGCTGCTTCCCTGTTCTGGCCAGAGCTCTAACAATGAAAGCTCGAGCCACGGGATCGGCGCAGAGCGGGGCAGGAGATGCCGTCCCACGTCTTGGCAGGTTGCGTGCGGGGGCCTTAGACTGGGTCATGCACGTGATTATACACATGAAGTTCCACGTGACCATGCACCACAAACCTTCCCAATGCCCTTACTTCACTCGAGCTTGGATCGATCAGAAGGTTATCAGCCTTGCCGAAAATCCTCTTCGTCCTCGGGGTCCTGGGCACCTCAATGAGCTCAGCCTTATGCTTCAGCAATAACGGTCGCAGTTCAGTCCAATGACATGCGGACTTTCAAGGCTAAGACAGCGTTGTGGAACAAACGTTGCAACATCTTTAGTGTTGCACGCGGACCATCAATGCTCGCCCCGATTGGTTGTGGCAGTCGGTGGCCCATTCGGATTTGAGCCCCTGCATCCACCGGGCCTGCAGCACCCACAGCGTGCACTTACAAAAGATCTGCGATTCCTAGACTCCCCTTGTCTTGGTTTAAATCAACCTCTCCGCGTTCAACAGAGTTGTCACTTGGGAAATGAAGAATATGCGCTTCAATTGGTGACCACAGTGAGCGATTGAACATTTGCACAGAACAATCTGCAAGTCTCAGGTGTGGGATGAGGAGCCAAACACTATTGTCGTTTGGTCAACCTCTCGACGTTGCATCACAGATGCAGGTAGAACCAACTGCCCTCCAGCATGCAGACGGAACTGAGGCCGTTTGCCGTTTGCTCGTTTTCCAAGGCTCCAATTCCTCGAGATTCGCAAGTTGTCTTTGTACCTGTCTGGAGATGGGTAAGGTCAGCTTTGAGCTGTCAGCATCTTGATCACGGATACAGACACTGTCGACAGATTCCAGTTCACTATGACAATGCCAGTTCGTCAAATGTTGTCGAGTTCTCTTTGACGTTTGCTGCTTGGTATGCCGAGGATTCATACATCATCCCACTTTCCCGGCTTCCATACGAGGAAGTGGCCGAAACTCCGGTGTAGGGTCCCTGCTTCGGACCAACTGCATGCCGCGCCCTTTATCAAACCGTCGCTTGCATATTCCTCATACTACTTATACCCATTTTTGCCAACGGTGAGGTCGGAGCCCTGGCTCTGCTGTAACGTTGCGTGTATGAGCCACCCAACCTTTCGACTTCGTGTCCTTCCTATTTTTTGCTTCCACTTTTCCCCGCAGTGCCGTTACGTGCCGTTTCTCTTCACAACGCTTATAAGAGCTTATAAAGCTCAGCCTTACCTTACTCCTGGATCCTGGACAGTCTATCCCTCAGAAAGGGTGCTTAGCAATTCCTGATACCCTCTTCCGTACTAGTTGTTGTCAGCTGCCCTGTTCCTTCTCGCACCTTCCCCTCTTTGTTGATCTCTCGCCATGTCAGGTTCGGAGGAAACAAAGCCTACGACGACGGGCTTGCTTCCTGCTTCCCACTGGAAGTCGGTATGTGACGTGTCCTAGCTCGTATATAAGAATTGGCGATGTATCATTCAGTCAACTAACGTTCTGTCAGCTCAACGTCGAAGAAGACGACCACAGCGATGCTTCCTCTTTCGCCTCCAGCAACGCAAGCAGCACCACCTCTCTCCGGGACAGCATCCTGGAATACCGCAAAATCCTGGGGCGAACCTATCACCACGAGCTGGGTGACGCAGAGAATTGGACACCGAACGATGACAAGCACACAGAGAGCATGGAGCTGGTCCACTACCTGACTCTCGTCGCCATGAAAAACAAGCTCTTCCACGCCCCTCTGAACACAGACAAGCTAAAGAAAGTCCTCGACGTCGGCACCGGCACGGGCCACTGGGCCATCGACTTTGGCGATCAATATCCCAACGTCGAAGTCACGGGGACAGATATCACCCCCATCCAGCCGGCATGGACACCTCCTAACGTGAGCTGGGAGATTGACGACGCAAACCAAGACTGGACCTGGCCCGAAAACACATTCGACTTCATCCACGTGCGGTATCTCATGGGGTGCATCCGGAACTGGAAGAAGTTCTATCAAGACGCCTTCCGCTGCCTCAAGCCTGGAGGATGGCTTGAGCACCATGAGTCTTCTTCCTCGTGGTACAGCGATACGGAAGGCGTTGGCCCAGACCATACCGTTGCCGAGGACAGTCCGGTGGGTCAGACGGTAAAGATCTTCCAGAGTTCGGGCGAGAGGATTGGCCGGACGTTTCGAGTGTTTGAGGATGAGCTTCAGCAGAAGCTTATGAAAGAGGTTGGCTTTGTCGACATTGGATTCAAGAATTACGATGTTCCTATCGGGAGTTGGCCTGAGGATCCGGAGCAGAAGCAACTTGGCATTCTGGGAGGAGAGGCCCTTCTCGGCGATCTTGAGGGTGCGTATTTCTTCTCTCTTGAGCATGTCCTTGGCAGCGTTGTGAAAGACGCCGCTGGTTCATTATGCTAACTTACTAGCTCAGGTTACATGCTCTACGTCCTGACAAAGGTCGAAGGCTGGTCCGAAGACGAAGCCAGGACCTTTACGGCCCATGTGCGTGCACAGCTTCGCAAGCCTGGATTCAATCCTTACTTCAAGCGTCGTGCCGTTTGGGGCAGGAAACCTGAGTGATAGCTCTTTGCACCACAACAGGTTGCGGTGACACTGGGAAAGGGACGAGGTTGTGATGTGTCGGTTCGAATATGAAAATACCTAGTGGATTGATTGTACCTACGGTTTCACAATGTGAGACAGACAAAAGGCTTCGTAAATCATCCATTTATTGTCTCCGCCCATCCCACAACACCCAACTCCTCAATCTATATAACGGATAACGATGATGACGGAAACAAGTCTGCAAGCGCCATGCTAAGATATGCGAAAAATGCACCGACAGATCCGGTTTACGAGAACTTCATTGCGCACTTTTGTAATGAATCCCAAGCCTGCCCTCCTATTCCTAAAACAGAACCAGAACGCCCTCCAATTAACGAGCCATCCTCTGACATCCCCTCACTCCTTGACACAAACTACTACCTCGGATGAGGGAACTTATCCTCCAACTGCATCCTCACACCAACATTCATACTGATCAGCTCCTGCACAAGCAGCTTCGCCGCATACGGCATGGTCATCTGGGTAACATTCGCCGTGCTCTGGCAAGTCTGGCAGAAGCCCTTGTAGCCAAACAACCCACACGCCTCGCACACATCGACCTGCGTCGCGTCCGAGCTAATCATCAGGCGCTCCAGCAGTAGCTGGCTAGCACCATATGCAATCAAACAATCGCGCTCCATCTCACCGAGACGCAGACCACCGTCGCGCGAACGACCTTCCGTCGGCTGGCGCGTGAGGATGGCGCGAGGACCGCGCGAGCGGGAGTGCATCTTGTCCTGCACCATGTGCTTCAGACGCTGATAGTAGATGGGACCGTTGAAGAGGTAGGCCTCGTGCGGGTTGCCCGTGATGCCGGACGTGAAGTAGTCCTTGCCTTCCCAGGAGAAGCCGTGCTCGATGAGGACGCGGCCCATCTCCTCGACGGGGTGGGAGCGGAAGGCGTCGCCGAAGCCGTAGTCGGGGCGGCCGGCGACGACGGCGGCCTTGCCGGTCAAGCATTCGAAGAGCTTGCCGACTGTCATTCGAGAGGGAAAACCGTGAGGGTTCATGATGATGTCGGGCACTATACCGCTGTCGGAGAAGGGCATGTCTTCCTGGTTGACGATAATGCCGACAACACCCTTCTGACCGTGGCGAGAGGAGAACTTGTCGCCGAGCTCAGGGCGACGGGTCTGGCGAGTTTGGACCTTGATAATGGCTGTGTTCTTCTCCGTATTCGACACCATCACCTTGTCGATGTAAGCTGGGTCGTTGATGCGGTAGTTGACAGGGGCAGGGACATAGGCATCCGAGCCGCGGTCACCGCCGATGCCAGTTGACGTCACGTCTACAGGAGTCTCCTTCATGATCATGGTCTCGCCGGAGCGGATCTGGTAACCGACAATGGCAAGACCGTCGCGGTCCAGGCAAGCGTGCTTGGCGATCGTGCGGCCCTCCTCATCCTTCTGCGGTCCGCCCAGGCGATCTTTCCGGCCGTTGGCATACTGCTGCAGCTCGGCCGTGTACTTGCGGAACACTTGGCAGCGTCCGAAGCCTCTATCGCATGAAGCCTTGTTCAACACCAGCGCGTCTTCGATATCATAACCCGAGTATGACATAACCACGACCGTTGCGTTCTGGCCGGCCGGCAGCTTGTCGTAATGAATGAGCTGAATGGTCTTGGTAATGACCATGGGTCGCTGGGGGTACACCAGCGTGTAGAGAAGGGTATCAATACGGTTAAACTGATTGTAAGCAATTGCACCAATGGCTTGTTTACCCATGGCGCATTGGTAGGTGTTACGGGGAGACTGATTGTGGTGGGGGAACGGAATCAGGCCGGCGACGGCACCCAGAATTGTAAACGGCTCAATCTCCATGTGGGTTGTCGCGCGTGTGATCTCATCCTCGTTCATGGCAATCAGTGCGTCGTTCTCCTCGTTGACATCGAGGTATTCGACCACTCCGAGCCTCAAGAAGTCATCAAAACTGGCCTTACCCAGTTGAAGAAGCCTCAAATGCTCTGGTTTCAACCTCGACTTGCCATCCTTGACAATAATATACGGCCTGCAGATGCGACCTTCATCTGTGGCAATGTGGATAGCCGAGAAGTGCTCGTTGGTATGGATACTGACAAACGGCGAGATGTGACCACGACGGCGCAACGTTCTAAACCGCGCGGCGAATTGCTTAGGATGTCGGGTCAGCGCAAATGGCGTACCGTTTAGATGGATGATATAGGAGCCCGGGCGGTGCATTTCGCTACCGGTGAAGACACGGATGGGCTCAACTCCAGGGACCAGATCGAAGATGCAATCCTTCACGGGCTCCTCATCAGCGTTTGTGGTGATGTGTGTCATGAGGGCCAAGTTCTTGACCAGACCGCAAGCTTCACCTTCGGGGGTATCAGATGTGCAGAGCATACCCCACTGCGATGGGTGAAGCGCACGGGGACCACTGACTTTCCTGGTCTTCTCGAACTGGCTGCTGATACGGGTCATCATACCGAGCGCCGAGATGTAACTGAGTCGACTCAGGACGTGAGTGACACCCGCACGGTTCATGTTGAAACGTCTGACTGTCCAGTTACCGCTCTGGATGGCGCGATTCAGACCCTGGGTAATGTATTGACCTTGACTGCTGATGGGACCGACAGGATCATAGGCCGACGTCCGGTTGGGCTTCTTGAAGAAATACTCCATGTTTCCCTTCAAGCTGGCAATAAACATCTTGAACTGATCTTCGAATAGCAGCGAGAGCAGCTGACCGGCCAACTCGAATCGCTTGTTGCCAACGAAATCACGATCATCGATCAGCTTAGGATTATGGGCGGCCATGAGGACGCGACGGACCATCATAGCGATGTAGATGGCCTTCGGGTAGAAGTCGAGGTCCTCGATAGTAATGTGGGCAATAATGAGATTCGTAAGTGCATCAAGACCTTCCTCAACCGGGCTTCGACGCGGTGCATTGGGCGATCGACCCTTCTTTGAACCACCCATCTTGACCCTTAGACCGATGTACTCCAGAGCCTGCTGTTGCGTAAACACGCCGGCGCGGGTAGCTTCGTCAAAGTTGACAAGGAAGTCATCCTGGTACAGAGCATCACCGCCAGCCACAAGCTCAAGGATTTGGTAGTCAGAGAGGCCACCGAGGGCCTTGAGAACGATGACAATTGGGATGGGCTCGACGAGGACGTTGTGGTTAAGAACGATGCGGTCCTTCTTGAGAATGACATAGGTCTTCGACTTGCGTTCGTGAGTCGAACTGGTTACGGAGGCCTGCACACCACCGGTCTTTTCATCTGCCTCGACGATGACACGGTTCTTGCTGAGCTGCTCCTGAATCAGGATGACCTTCTCCGTGCCATTGATGATAAAGTAACCACCAGGGTCGAGGGGACACTCGTTCATAATTTCCATCTGGGCATTGGTGGCCTTGCTGAGCACGCACTTGGAGCTCTTGAGCATGACGGGGATGCGGCAGAGCGGGATGTCCTTGCGGACGATGCGCTTGCGGTCGCGCGAGTAGACGATGTCGACGACGACAGGAGCGGCATAAGTCATGTCGCGTAGACGGCACTCCATGGGAGTGACCTCGTCCCGCGCCTTGAAATCGGAGTAATCATTGCGAGTTGGGGTAAGAACGCGGATATCGGTAAACTCGAGCCAGAAGTCCTTCTCCTGATCGCTGCGAATGGAGCGGTTGGCGCGGACAATGTCCTTAATTTCGTGCTCGACGAAGAAATTGTACGAGTCGATGTGCTGCTTGACAAGACCTGAAAATCGTCAGCGGCCCATTGACGCTGTTAATAACCGAGCAGAAGGTCTCGAAACCATGGGCGACGGGAGTGATGATGGTGGGCAGGTTCATCCATTACTCACCCTTGACCTTCAGGAAGGCAGGCAGCAACTGGTACTTGTCCTCCTTTGTCGAGATAGGGTCTGTCAGCTTCTTGCCATTGTAGAAAGGCTCCAGCAGGGCCTCGAAGCCGTCGTCTAAGGGTGCGGGAGCCATCTTCCCTGGCGGTGATGTTTGCTTCCTCGCTGCCCTCTCTGCTATTGAAGCGACCAGGGTGCAATGCGCTGACTGTGCAGACTCAACAATGATTTTTTGCCCCGCGCCCACTCTGTCTTATCGATAAGATCTGGAGCAGGTGGGGGACGACTGCACCTAAAACCAATAAGCCAGCAGGTGAAACCCAGGGCATCTTTCTCTCATCCTGAAGATACTATCACAAAACTTGTTTATCTTTGTAGAATTTGTGTTAGAAATAGATTTATCCATCTTTCCATGATATAAGATGCATCATGAGAGTATAAACAACAAAGGCTGTCTAATGACAAGACTCTCGAATGCTGAAGTTGACTTGCAGCAAGTTGCTCTGGTTCCTGGCTCCACCCACAGCCTCCTGTTGGCAGGTGCCTCGGACGAACCAAAGTTCAAGCGTTCAAACTGTGAGCCTGAAACGAGCTCCAATGCAGCAGCATTCTGCCCTGCTCATAGCATCCAGAAATCGGCTTCCAACTTGGCAGGACGTTTCTCTTAGCCACCCATGGTATTGCCACAGAAAGTCAGGTCACTAGGTAGATTTCATCTTGTTATATCTGGTAGAAGCCATCGTGACACACAGCACCGGGCGACCAGGGCATTGCATCCGCGGTGCATCAGAGCGCTGAGCTGGCATTTGTCACTTGGTTCCAGAGAGCACGGGTCTTGAATGGTGGGCTGTATTGCTTGCTCAAGGCCAGTGAGATTATGAGTTACGGATGTTATCTCTGCTGAAGGCAAAGAAAATGCCCCGCCTCTCGAGCATTCTCAACTTGATCCCTCCCGTGTAGTGGTTAACCTCCTCCCTCCAGTGAATCTGTGTGCATGATTCATACTAGGTATGTATGTCGACGTCTTGTGCTATTAACCAATTCAGAATGCGGACAATCATGTGGTACAATACCAGTCATTGACATTGGGGGCTTATCACTGTTTTTAAACATCTGGCCATCTGGCTGTGAGATCAAGTGTTCCTCTCCTGAAAGAGATTCCTCCGGGTCTTTATTCAACAAACACATAGGTAAGCCCAGGCCGAGGGACGATTCTTTTAAACCTAACGTCATCTCGGCTTTTGAAACTCGACTCACCGACTTTTACCTTGCCCATTTCCTGGAACCTGCAGCTTGCAGGGAGTTGTGGAGTGGAATTAATGCTGCCATCCATCCGAGCTCTTCGTTTGTCCCAGGGTACTGGCTGACAGCTCGCAGCCTCTACTCACCAAGGTGATTGCATGTGCGACAGCTATGACATCTGAACCGCCACATTTTGCCGCATAGCCCACTCGAGAGTATCTACTGTCGGTTTTAGCTGATGTACACTATAAGCATCTCATCGGCTAGCTGCGGAAGGCTGATTTCGAGATATGGTTCTTCTTGCGTTGGACGAATCATGGTTTGAACCACGCATCCATTGTCATACAGAGAGATCAGCGCGGATCCTGCGCGGGCGGGTGTGATTCACTCCGCACACTTAAGCCTTCGCCGAAGCCAAGACATAGTCAGAGGCTCAAAAGGCAGAACTTGTGGGGTTTCAGTTGCACTTGGTGCTTCTGTCTTTGTTTTCCTCAAGTGACTTTACAGTTAAGCGCAGCAACCTGTCTGCCAAGCATTGGGATCTCCCAGCTTGCCCACGTGAGGATCAACCTAACTCAGAAATATCCCATGGTCATCGTAGCTCAAGAGCAAGGGGCTGAGCAACAACGCCCAACCAAGGCTGGGTGGTTGGAGTCCCTTTTGGAGAAGAAGAGGGGGCTCGAGTTCCTCTAGCGGCGGGATGAATGTCCCTCTCTTGCGCATGTGCGGGCAGGAACATGTGCGGGCAAGGATGCCACTCTGGCCAGCTCCACATCCATGACCCTGGTCAGCACGCCTTGGGATGAGAGGGGTTGCGGCCCGTTTAACAGCGGGGAAGAAAAATGACGAGCAGAGCAACCAATCTGTCTGTCCCTGGAAGTCCCCTGGACGTGTAGTTTGTGCGAAAGTCTTCTGGAGCCCCGGAAGAAAAATCGTGGAAAAAATCGTAAAAAAATTGAGTCAGATCAAAGATGAGAGTTCCATACAGTTTGAAGAGCGAAGAAACAGACTGAAACGACACCAGTGTTTTTGCAGGGGAACTTTGCCGTTCAGATCCCTTTTGAATACACCCGGATAAAATGCCTAGGCCAGCCCAAGCCCCTCGGGTACCCAGCCAGGCTCGCTAGGTTGTTACTTGGTCACAAGAGGCCTATGTTGGGTTGGGACATAAGTAGTTTGCTGATGGCGGAATTACTAAAGATGCTTGACAGCATGCTTGTTCCTGTGTCTTGGCCTGATCTTCAGAGAAGGTCGCCGCTGGGAGCAGAGCGTCTCCTTGAGCTTTCACTTCGGGCATTTTCGCGATCTCTCTTCCCGGATCCAGCTTCAATCCAGGAATCTCGCGGTTACAAAGGCCAGCCAGGCACAGACAAGGGAACTTGTGGGGACTAGATGGAGGTCTTCCGCCCAATGACTGCAAACAGATAGGTAATTCGGTCCTCAGAAGTCCCGGTGTCGGGCATGCTGTTGTGAGTTTGCTGATGATGTGCAATTCACAAATCTATCTGGGGATCCATAGGTTCCTCTCAGGCTGAGCCTTTCTCCCCACATGGGCAACATTTACAAGAGTCGCCTTTCTGGAAGCAGTACAAGTAGGTAAGTTGTCGACTGTGCCGGTGGTGGAGGATGGCAAGTAGCCAACACACATCCTCCATCTCGCTCCAAACTTCGTAAATCCTACAATGGTTTAGATTATCTTTTGCATGCATTGGAACGCATGGATCCGGAACTGAACCTGGGGAAGAACAGTGATCTCCACAAGATGTGCCTGGCTATACCACCTTGCTTGGAATGTGTCGCAGCCAGGACCAGCTGGCTTAATTGGTCGCGCGCAATATAGTGGGGGAGCAGACTCCGTTCCTGGCTCTTTGTACCCTCACACTGTAACCTCCGTTTTGGCGTCACAGTGGCTGACCGGCAGCCACCTCAGGTTCCAAGCTGCTGGCCGATTGTCCTAGCTGCGCACCTAGGTATCGATGGTCCGTTCGGCACTCGACCCGGGAGAGGTGGACTCGAAAGCTAAGGCAACTTGTATCATGTACGCTATGTGCTTTACAGTCCCGAAGATGCCGCTGGGCTGCTCCAGGGAGAACACTTGGAGAGCTCGGAGTCGATGCCAGCGCAGACTAAAGCAAACATGGACCCGCGAACACATGCTGTGCTGGAGATTGGGGGGGTCGTGAGGTTCTCGTGCCGAATCGTCACCACCTCCCACAGCGTCTAGGAACGCTAACGTCCAATGCACCCAAGTATCCATGCAGGACAGGGACAAGCTGTTCGGACCGGATCTGGGCATCTCTGGGCAACGCGGCTAGCCCGTTTTTTGTCAAACTGTACACCATTGGCAGAGCGCCACTGTGAAACGACCGTATACTTGGCTTGTTGGAGACGCTGGGGTTAGTGACACAACAACACAGCATGGAAACAAGTGAGCCCAAGACCCAAGGTTGACACTTGACAGGCTCAAGCACCTGCCAGGGAACCTGTTCTTGTAATCAAACATCCATCTGCCGGCTATGTGTCTGGCTGCCGCGCCATTTGCCAGCCAGCAGACCCAACTGCCCAACAACTGTTTTAATGTGCCTGTGCACTGTGTATGTTTGTATGTGTTTTATGTTCTGAGAGCCCTCCTCGAAGTCCTTGCAGCGTCCCTTTGTCGAAAAGCCGCTGGCCTCACGAAAGATTCCAAGCGAGTCCGAGGTCTCTGTCCGCGTAGGTATCAGGCTGGGACATTTTTGAAGAGCCGGAGAAGTGACCTGATGGATGCGTGGGGACACAGTTCGACTCTTCGACAACGCCTAAATAACTGAGAGGTGGGATGGACAAGCCCAGCTTTTTAGCGCAGAGATTCGAGAGCTCTCTCTTACTACGCCCAAACTCCCCAAACTCTCCGTACTCGCCCTTTCAAGCAACCGGCACGGCACGTCAAGTTGCAAGCGTGCATGGAGCAGCAGCAGGGGAGGGGCAGCCGACGGTGACCCCACAGCAGCCCAATCGCCGTGGCGGGGATGGGGCTGTTTTAGCATACGCCAAAGCTTGGACCCTGCGCAGCCAACCCTTTTCCAGTGCTTGTCCCCCCAGGGCCCAGCGGCCCAGCTTCTCTTTCTCCGCTGCCAGGGGTCCTCCACTTGCTGCTGGGTTGTCCTTAACCCGAACCGTGACCCAAGTCGGCCGTTCTTCATTGTGTCTACTTCTCTTCCTCCCTGTTGCTTCCACGCTTCCCCTTCTGTACAACAGCCGTTCGCTTTCGTTGCTGTTGCTCCTGGTCTCCAGGGCGCAGCGTGTGCCATCAAATTTTTCTGTCCAGGTCAGTCAAACTCGACTTCCGATGCCCCTCCGCGCTGCAGGCTCGCCAGCAACCAAATCTCTAGGCCGGAGGGAGGGGGCGCTCCGGGCGTGGGACGGTCGAACAGGTCATCGCCTGACTGCGAGCCGGGGAGAGATGGATGTTGAAGACAAGCGAAATCGCGCACACAAAGAGCAACGCCTTTGGGCACGGGGGGCCATGGGCAGACGGGCAAGGCAGATGACATCGCCTCGAAGCCCTCTCTGACTATCGTCGACTGCCGTTACGCCGTCCGCGCCTTGGCTGACTTGCTGCTCACCCAGCCGGCCACCTTGAGCACCTGAGCGGAAAAGCTGCGCGCGTTTCCATTCTCATGCTTAGAGCTGTCTCTTTTCAACGCCCGATTGCTGACAATACACGGTCTGCAGACTTATAAATTAGCGCTATCCTCGTCCAATCGCGTGCCGCCCGTGTATCGAATATTCTCACAGCAAGTGTGTGTATCAAAGGGCGAGCGTGATGGACAGCTTCTTCTCGACCCAGCCGAGTTCCAGACCGGACTCATCCGTCAGTGCGGCCTTCGCGTCGCCTCCTCGCCCAACCACAAACCTTATTCTGCCGCGCCGGTTCACAGGCGAACCCACGACCACCAGAGTACCGATACTTTCAACTCTTGCAAACATCACGCGCCCTACCGATGCGCCAGACTTCGCTGCTGCAGGTGTACGTTCTCATTCATGGTCTACCCTGGTAGGAGTAGCGGGATACTGGCTAGACTGTGCCTTTTGTGTTTTTTAAGGGTATCGTGTGTTCAACAACTGAGCTGACATTCACGGTGACAGGCTTTGCATAAGGTCCAATTGGTACGTATCCTTGCCGGTATCTTGGTTGCTGGTTCTACCTCGAGATGGGGTTTTGGAGGAAGCGCTAAAGAAGAGAGTCTCTTGTCTCGCAATCCCGACGGGACAGGAAACTCAGCGCTCGCGTTAAAAATATTTGCTTGTGGGACAGAATGGTTAGCTAACTTGATGGCCTTTTGATGGCCGCCGAGTTACAGCTAGAGAAAAAGCGACAGGACTATGAGAGGCTTAAAGAGCATAGACGGCGCTTCGAGGCCGAAATCTCGAAGCTCGATGCCCAACAGCGGCAGGAGGAGAGGGAGCTTCAGCAGTTGGCAGAGGATTTGAACGCCAGATTCGGTGGCCATCAGTCCGAGCCGACAACTCCCCCAGAGTATCGTGATTCCTCCGGTTTCCCGTCGATTTTCTCGCGCCCGAACCGTTACTCGACCTCGAGCTTGACTTCCCCGCAGAGCCTGTTTAGCCGCCCTGTTCGGTCTGTGTTGACCTCGCCTCTTTCGGGAACTTTGCCCTCGCGGTTTGCTTTCGATGACACCCTCCCGTCGCATTCCCTACTCAGTTCACGGAGGAATAGCAATGATGATGAGAAGGAGGCGGCAGTCCGTCAGGATCCCACGAGCCATCGGTCAACTAACACGTAAGTATATAGCCCTTCCAGTCTTGCATTCGTTTGCCATCTAGGTAGAGGAATGTTCCTTCTGGAAACAAAACATGATGTTCAAGCGAACAAGCACTCCGAATTGAAGTGCCAATCCCTCAGCGTCATCTAACCAAGTCCATCCCCTACATGCTACACCACAGTCCCTCAATGTTTGCGAAGCACACTCCTTTCGTGCTTCCCTACCTTCTCCATCTCAAGGCCTATCATTCAGTCTTCTTTGTTTAATAGAAAACTGTGTCTGGGCCTCAGTTCACAGTGGGCGCTCGGACCGCTGCCTTTGTCGGTGCGCATCTGAATATCTGGCTATTCATCATCTTCCCCTATTCACAACCAGGAAAACAATAGCTGAAAGATTGCACCGTCGATTCGAACCTTCCTCCGCGTTAGCCATTCTTCCAACGCCAGAGGGCTTCCACATGCCTACATATTCCCCCAAATTTTTGCCCCCAATCCAGTTTTTTTCAACTTAACCAGAAACCACACTCTGCTTTCTGTCTGGCACTCTTCATTTCTATTCCACCCAACATCTCCAACAACATAAGCCAATACTGGCAGCGACTTCTCTATCCTTCACCAAAAACTTCACGGGGTTTCAGGTCACTAACCTGAACTTGCTAGACTCAACCGGTATTCTATGCCAGTGACGAGGTCTCGGACGTACTTCGACATCGGACTCGAGGACAGCAACAACACAACCGGCTTCCTGTTCGGCGACGAAGACTCGAACACTGAGACCAAGACCACTCCTACAGCGCCTGTCGGCAGCAGCGACGTCTTCTCATTCTTATCACGGCCTACCGGATTTGCAAGCATGGTAAGTGCACTTGCTTCTGCTTTTCTTTATCATTCTGGTGTTTGTGCGCAGAGAAAGTCGACCTGCGGCATGTCTGGGGATCACCCAGCGTTCAGTCTGATCTCTCTCGGCTCTCTGGCATTTCCCCTGTAGAATCGGCTGTTCTCAAGGGCCTCGCCACTCCTCTGCCTTAAGCTGGGAGCTCGCACCAATTTTTTTGGCCTGGCCGAAAATTTGGGGAAGGCACGCCCCACGCTCGCGCTCTTCCCAGCACCGACCGAGTTTGGGATTTTCATTCGGGACCCCTCGCTCACTCACTCTTCTTTCTCCGATTCCACAAAAAAACTTCCCATCTTCGTGGCCGCATCTCTCATTTTCGCGACGACTAGTTTTTTTTCTTTCAACTTGCCCACGGCCTGTTTTGCAGAGAATTGCTTCGCTTCTGTAACATTAGTTTTTTTTTTCCTTTGTTTTGCTGCCGAGGCAATTTTCATGTAAAACTGGTCATCACTCCTCACTTTTACTTTTCACATTCATCAATCTGCACCTTTCACCTGCGCAGCATTGCCTGCGTTTCACTGCATTTCACTCGGTACCGTCCGCTGTTCACACGTTAACTCATTTCTCATCAAGGCATCCACCACTTCTTCTGCTGCGCCGGACTTCGGCCTGTCCCAAACCTCAGCTACTGATTTTTCGAGCAACGGTTGGAGCAGTATTAACAAGCATCGCCAGAGTATGTCTACCATTGGCCAGACTCAACTTAACGGTGCAGCCTCTGTCGGCTCTCCCTCGGAGACCAGCACCATCGGCAGCGCTCGCCCTGCCAATATGCGCCACTCGGTCGATGGCAGCAAGTTCTTCCCCGAGTCTTCGGCTCCCTCGGCCGAAACCCCGGCCCCGGCTTCGACCATTGTTTCTCCGCCCAGCGTCCAGGCGATGGCTTCCCCTCCCAAGCTTCACCAGTCTTACTCGGCCAGCGATGTCCCGGCTGTGAAGCCTAATGGCTCGACTACTGTGTCCCCGACTGGTGCCAACAACCATGCGCAGCAGCATCTCCAGAACCACAACGCTGCCCTCGGTCGCATTCCTGCTAGCGCTGTTCCAGCCCGCCACAGCCGGGAGCTCTCTGCTGATGTTTCGCCGCCGTCGCCCAATGCCCGGGAGACTACCACTTATCCGTCCATTACCTCTACTCTGCAGGCTAGCGCTCCTCCTTTCGGGCCTGTCTCTACTCAGCCTCAGCAGCCCCCTGCTACCGCGGCCCCGACTATGCCGGTTCCCGCCCCTATGCCTTACCCCTTCTACCCGGCTGCTCCTCCCTATCAGCCCATTAACGCCCCGCCTGCTGGTTACCAGGCGTTACCCATGCTGATGCAGAACATGTCCATATCCAACGGCAATCCTCCTCCCATGTATCCTCAGCAGAACTTCACCGGCTATGGTCCTTTGTACAACCCTGCCCCTGCGCCTCGTCAATCTCATGATAGCCAGGCTCGTGTCATCCAGAGCCGTCGTCAGATGGACAGTGAGGGTAAGTTGTTTTTTTTTCTTAATGCTTAAAGTTATTTGGAGCTTAGTCGCTAATGGGTGTCATAGCCATGGCTCGTTATAACAACCTTTCTCTCGAGCAGTGCGCTGGTAACATTTACTCCTTGTGCAAGGATCAGCATGGCTGCCGCTACCTTCAAAAGCAGCTGGAGAACCGCATTCCGGCTCAGATCCACATGATTTGGCTCGAGGTTAACCAGCACATTGTAGAGTTGATGATGGATCCCTTCGGTAACTACCTGTGCCAGAAGCTCGTCGAGTTCTGCAGTGATGAGGAGCGCACCGTTCTCATTCAGAACGCCGCCCCTGAGATGGTTCGCATTGCCCTGAATCAGCATGGTACTCGAGCCCTCCAGAAGATGATCGAGCATGTGACCACGCCGGCTCAGGTGAACCTCATCGTTGAGGCCCTTCGTCATCAGGTCGTCGAGCTTATTCAGGACCTCAACGGCAACCACGTCATTCAAAAGTGTCTGAACAAGCTGAGCGCTACCGATGCGTCCTTCATCTTCGATGCTGTCGGCAAGAACTGCGTCGAAGTTGGCACTCACCGCCACGGCTGCTGCGTCCTGCAGCGCTGTATCGATCACGCCGACGGCGCCCAGAAGGTGTGGCTTATTGAGTGCATCACTGCCCACGCTGTTACCCTCGTTCAGGATCCCTTCGGCAACTATGTCGTCCAGTACATCATCGACCTAAACGAGGAGACCTTTACTGAGCCGCTCGTCAACCAGTTCAAGGGTCGCATCATCTCGCTTTCCAAGCACAAGTTCAGCTCCAACGTGGTTGAGAAGTGTCTGCGTTGCGCTTCCGACGCTGCTCGCGACATGATCGTCAACGAGCTTTTGACTCCTGGTGAGATGGAGCGCCTGCTTCGCGACTCTTTTGCCAACTACGTCATTCAGACCGCCCTCGATTATGCGACTGCCAACATGAAGCCCCGCCTTGTCGAAGCCATCCGCCCCAGTCTGCCGTCTATTCGTGCGACTCCCTATGGTCGTCGCATCCAGGCGAAGATTCAGGCTTATGATGCTCGTGGCACTACCACCAACAACGGCCAGACCCCCACCGATCCTTCGGGCGGCCAGGTCTCGGTCCGTTCATCGCACAACCGCAACATGCAGACCAGCGCCTCCATCCTCAACGCGCCGGCTTATGCCAATGGCAACTCGGCTGCCAACGGTGTCAACGGTACCAACGCCAACAACAGCCGCGCCGGTACTGGCATGTATCCGTCCAGCACTATGATCGCTGTTCCTCCCCCTCGGCCCGCTCAGCCGCAGACTGCGCCTGTTCCTTCCACCCAGGCGGCTCAAGCCCCTCGAGCCCAGCAGCAGGCTCAACCCCCGCAGCAGTTCCTGCCTCTTGCCCCTGCTACTCAGAACGGGGAGGGCCAGTGGGTCTAAGCTTAGGAACATCATGAATTCATCACACTGCGGCGCGATGAAATTCTGGTTGGGCCTTTGACGTGGTCTCCCTTTTCTACCTCTGCTAGATTAGTCACGAAGCATGCTCGCATGCTATGACCGTCATGATGGTTTTTATCCTCTTTTTTCCCCTCTTCTCTGTTTCCATTAGCGACGATTGGGCACGGCATTTCGAGTTTCCTCATGATGCAAGATGGTATCCATGGGCGACAACGGAAGAGAAAAAAACACCTTCGAGCTTAAGCGCTTCCCTAATGTTCTCGGGGAGGTTTGCTTTGTTGTACACTATTCGCTCGATAGGTTATGGTGCAGTCGCGGTACATAGAGCGTTCTGGGACGTAATCCTTCTTAACTCGTTTTTCTTCTCTCGTGTCATTTTCGCCCTCGGTTCTTTTTCCTTCCTCTTCATATTAACTCAGACCTGATCCTTCTACCCCTTTTTTGCTCTCCTCTTACGGCAATCTTCTCATTTGTTCGTCTGTCGTGAACGACGAGTTGACCGCCATTTGATGGGAAGATTTTCTGAGATGGAACTGGTAGGATGATGGCTGGTAGGATGTTAAAGGGAATTTCATGGGTCACTAAGTGGGAGACTTTCGGAATCTGGTGTTTGTTCTCCTTCTCATCTTCACACTACTGGCCGGACAGCCTTAGCAGTTCCCTCACCACAAGTCCATATTCCTATTTTCTGGCATGGACCAATTCTACTTTGCTCTTCTCGGCGATCGGTTCAGATCCATGCCTCCCTCACGTTTGCATGTTTCTGCAAACAATCACTTTGGGAATCTGGATGGCTATCTGGGTGGGATGCATGGGGCAGAATTTGATAGAGTGTTTTAGTTGGTGCAATACCATATGATTACTCACAACCTTTCCCCATCGGCTACTCTAACTTCTGGGCGTTGGAACGGATCGGGTCTTTATCTTCGGAGGGGCATTTGTTTCATTTTTCCTTTTTTTCTCTTCATCTCTTGTGTTTCGTGCCGTCTTGCTACTGATTGCTATGGGCATTTTACCTTACTTTACCCCTTAAACCTTAACTCTAGATGTTTTAGCACGCCGCGAATGGAAATCAGAGAGTTTGGTGCTACGTTACTTTTTTCGAGTTGAGCGTGGGTTGATTTAGGAAATTCGAGGCAATGGTGAATCGATTGGGTCAGTCTGCCGCTACGGAAACTGATGGTGGTAATGAGGGAGGATAGGGGGAAAAGTAGCTAAAGGAACGGCAAACTTGAGGATGATGGGACGGGAGGATATTCAAACTGATGGATGGATTGCTTCATTATTTTACCTCTCTTCTTACGTTCAGCAGCCTTCTTCGGTTTGCCTATATTTGAGGAGTCGAGTTTTAGTTCTCGCGTCTGCTCTACCGCGGTAATGGACAGACACGAATAAAGAACTGTTCTCAGCATGCTCAACTGACCTCTCTGTGTGACGATATGACACATTTGTTCTAAAAGGATGGCTTAAGGGCAAGCAACACTAATATAACATATATACATATACCGAGAGGGCTAGGTATGGAGGAAACAATCAGTTATTGTCTGACATGTTGACCTGAGCCACACGTGCCTGTTGATCAGGGGATGGCAGTTATCGTAAGCGGGCAAGATGATGCTAGCACTAGAATATTCCAAATAATCAATTACATCTACTTCCAGCCATTGTCCTCCATTCTGCGTTGTTCATACTCTATTTTGACCTAAAAGGACAAACTGTAAGGCCTGTCTGGTGATTTTCGTCGGAGATATTGGAAGGCAATAGAGCTGCGGAACTAGAATCCGTTCAAAAGACAGTCAAAGGCACAATAAGTGAAGCGAAAGGCTTATCGTTGAAGAATTGGAAGTTTTTTTTCTCATGTCAATCAGGCAAGGGGATCGCTCCGTTAAACCGGAATGGCAAGTCCAAAGGTCACTCGAGTACTGGCCTAAGGAATTCGGCAAATGCGTATCACAAGGCACGAGTACCAAGACATCACGACCGCGAATGACCGAAAAAGCAACCAGTCGTTTGATCCTCAACGCCAACCATAGCCGGGAATCACAATGCAATTCGTCATAAACCCACGAACTTGCGAACATATATGTTACGCGCCTGTCCATTCCTTTTTTTTCTCGGCTGCTAAAATGAATTCCCCATCCCAGTGCTCCCTAATGTCGGCATGGCACAGCTTGACCCCGCCATATAGTCCAGTGACGAGCCAGCCAGTCTCCAAACCAACTCAGCCACACGAAACAGAAGAACCAGCAGAGCCGAAAAATAAACTCCCAAACCCCAGAGCCTGTCAGGACTGACACCCCCTCGCAACGGCTTACCGGTAGCGCCAGAGAGAGAGGGTGTTGTGGCGCTTCCAGGTCTTTCTCCGGCCAGCGCGGGTCTTGTTGAAGCGGTGGCCCTTGTTGAGACCACGCGACTTCTTGCCTGTGGAAGTGAGGCCACGGCACTCGCGGTGCTTGTGGACGGGGTTGCAGATCCAGTTGATGCGGGGGTCGCGGCGGATGGCTTTGTGGTTGGGGTCGACAAGGATGACCTCGTAGTACTTGTAGGTAGAATCCTGGTTGACCCAGTAGGAGTTGAGAACGCGCAGGTTGGAGCAACGGCGGCCAACACGCTCCTCAGCGGTGGCACGGAGCGAGCGCTGGTACTTGAGCTGGTTCACACCCTGGTTGGTGGGCTTGCCTGTTGACGGGAGTTGGTTAATAATGTCCCCCTAAAGAATTCCTCGAGATGGAGAAAACTCACCATAGGTGGCGCCCTTGGGAACAGGCCTCTTGCGGCCACCACGGCGGACACGCACGCGGTAGATGACATAGCCCTGCTTGGCCTTGTAGCCAAGGCGGCGGGCCTTGTCAGGGCGGCTGGGCCTCGAGGCACGGTGGATGACGTTCAGCTGACGGTACTATATTGATGCACTCTCAGCAAATGTTCATCGAGTGTATAGCAAGAACGGCGCCGAGTCGGTCGCTCTGCTGAACGGAAAGCGCCAGATGGCCCTGAGAACCCTTCCAGCCTCTCTCCGCCGTGGACCAGCAGAAGGTCGAACCGACTGCTTGCTCTCCGTCCACATTGTGTATGATCGAGGGTGCTTTAACTGACCTCCCAGCAGCGAACGCGAAGAAGGAAGCGAACGACGTCGCTCTGCTTCTTCTTCGAAAGCTCCTCGAGGTACTTAAGGGCACCCATTTTGCCTGTGCAGATCTCGCTAGTCAGTCCCTTGTCGCCAGTAGAAAATTATGGAAGTTGAAAGTTCGAGGCTGCTTCATGCAGAGAACTACGCAAAGCGGCCGCGAGGAGACGTTTCTTACGTACCGACTTCGAATTCCTGTTGTTAGTACCGGTCGAGGAAATCCGCCAAGGTCGAGAGAATCGAGAGACGAAATTTCAGAAACCTTTGGCGGTTGTGGAAAGCGAAAGCCCTAACCGAGGGGATTTACGCTAGTCCTAATTAGGACTAGTGCAGTTGGTCCAAGCTCCACTGTCACGGGACGCCACCAAGGGTCTTGGCGAAATCTTGGCCATCATGACAGGGCCTGGCCCCATGTTCATCTTCCAACATTCAATTCATCTAGTACTGATGCTTGAAGATGCTTCAGTGGTGTTTTCAGGCTCGCCAGGTCTTTCAATAGTATTGTGTTCCGAACAGCAGATACAAGCAAATCAGAAACGCATGCAAAAATGCTGTAGCAAAGCCACCTTCGCAACCTTCGATCAGTCCTTTCTGGGAGCAGGCAACGTCTTGAGCAGTCCAACCAAAGCAACCATCTGCTTCTTTGCCGCCACTCCCCAAGCCTCCTCGCCTTTCAACTCCTCCTTCTTCCATTTATACAATCCTTTCGCTAGATCTTTCACCTCACCAAGATTTCCGCCCAGACTAGCATCATCCCCATCATCTTCATCCTCACTCTCTCCCTGACTCTTCCCATCCTCAGGGGTAATCCATCCTTCCACGATTTTCTCACCATGTATTCGCCCACACTCAAGCAACTTCTTCAAACTCTCCTCGTCCTGCTTCCACATTTCACGTGGAGTTTTGAGCGCGGCACTGTTCTGGTTGAATTCACTGTTTGCCTTTTCGTGGCGCTGGAGCAGATCATGACTTAGGTGCAGTACTTTCTGGGTTTCTTCGTATAGAGGGTTATCCTTGAAGGAAATTGCGACAGGCTCGATCGCAGCTGACAGCCTTCTCATGGCTATGTAAATATTTGTCGGGTCGTCGCCCTGTGCAGATGGGTTATGGCTGGATGAAGCGTGTCAACATAGACATAAGTATTGTAAAGTATCGGATGACTGACAGGACTTGTTTCAATTTGACCAGAGTCTCAAGGAACTGGTCCTGCCTAGTTGCTATCTTTTCTTTAAACTCTTGGATGAACTTTTTGGCTCTCTGGCTCTGCTCCATCAAGTGCTGTTCAATCGTAGCCGGCTTGAAGCTGCCACTATCGGCCGTCAGTTCAAGTAATGTCCAGAAATCAGTATACTACAACGATCCATCCATACTGTTTCAGGCTAGTAAAGTCAAGCAATTCATTCTCTTCGTCACCACCCTTCGTCCTTTGTGAAGCAGCAGCCCGACGTGGCTTCTTGGGCTGTGTCTGAGAAGTCAAATCATCGTCATCAACGTCACCATCAGTTGGTGGCGTCCCCTTTCCTGGACGTGTAGTGCGGCCCCTTGAAACAGCAGGGCGGTTGGGGGAAGCCGTAGTCATAGATCTTCTCTTTGGCGGCATGATACTACAAAAGAATCCATACAACGCTTAAAATAGAGTACTGTTGCTGGTAGATTCAGCTCAAATGATGGACAGCAGCGACCACACCAAGTCAAAAATGATTCGAGTGTGTGCATTAATTGTTGACGAGGACTATACTCAGATGATTTCAGGAACACCTGATATGGGCTTGGATCAGCAGCATTTCAAGTTTCGCCCATGGCATGGACTTTGGTCGCTCTTACCCTCCGCAACGCCCCCGTGGATCACCAGAGTCAAAAAAAGGTTGTCTGCCTAGTCCTATCTAAGATAGGAAGGGACAACTCATGCCTTGGTTCGACAGGCTATCAAGGCTCAAGAAAATGATAAGTTCTCATTGATGAGCTGGCCGCAGGAAAATTTAGGTGCGAGCACGTCTTCTCATGACAGCTTCAGGAACTTGTGGCAGGAGAAAATGAAGAAAATGAAGAGCAAAAATCGTATTCAGATCAAGATGACCATTTCTACTCGTACACACATTCATTAGGGGCCTTAACCTAGCCCAATATTGCAGCATCGAGCTCAAGCTCAAGATCATCATCAGCAAAGACAGACATCAAACTCACAATTACATCCACCATCACCAAGACAAGACAAAAAGCAGGCAAAATCCAGCAAATCATCCACACGCACACCAACACCAAAAACGCTCCAGCCGACCAAGCACACCACACCACCACCACCACCACCACCACCACCATCATCATCATCATCATCATCTCGAGATAATCAAACAGCAAAACACCCCAATTCTGTCTGTTTCTTGGTCTGATTCATTCGTTCGTTGCCGCGATGAAAGATCTAAATGATTAAGTAGTCGTTCCAGATCCAGCAGCAAAAGAAAGAGAAATAGTGAGAGGGTATCAACCCTTCTTTCATCAACTGTTATCCATCATTTATGTTCCTTTTTTGTAACTGGAAATAGTGCTTGAGGAGCATGCAGGTTTAAGTCCCATTATCCGATGACCATTCCCAGGAGCTGGATTACTTCAAAATGATCGCCATAGACCCCCTCTTCAAACCAACAAAAAGCGACGTCCTGTTTGCCTTCGCCTTTGGGCGCAGTGGCAATGGGGGCGGGATAACATCATCGGGATCCTCGGTGTTGTCGTTGGTGTCTTGGTTGCGCGTTGAGCCGACAACCCGACTATTTGATGCTTCCAACCAAAATTTCGGAATAGCAGGGGCAGGAGAAATCTCGATTTCCGTCCCACCAAGGTCCAGAGGAGGGAGGAATGAAGTCCTAACGGCTGATGCTGTGACCAATGGCACCATGGGCTTGAGGGCAGGCGGCTCGGTGGTGGACAAAAACGCGGCCAGGGATAGAAGCGACTCGGAAGATGGCTGCTTTTGCGGCGCATTATTCGCAGGATCGGAGACCGAGAGTTTTTTGCCAATTGTAAACGCCATAAAGAGTTCCAAGGGCTTCAATACCGGGATTCTCCTGTGATCCGCAGTCTGATTCTTGCTGGCGTTCGAGGTGCTGGCTACTGCCGAAGCCTTTCCTTTGTCCTGCTCCCGTTGCTCCTGTTTTTCGTCTGGCATCTCCTCAACCAAAACCGCATCGGCATGACTCTCAGACGACCGTCTCCGGGGTGACTTCCGGACCTACTTGGTCAACCACGGGAACTTCTTCTTGCTCGACTCAGCCGAGGCGGCTGCGCCTGCAGGCTCGACCTGCACGCTGCGCTGGTAGATTTCCTGCGTTCAAGGTCAGTCAACTGCCAAAATGGACCCCATGTAAACAAAAGCCGAGAACTCACCTCCTCATCTGTGGAAATCTTCACATCGAGAATCAACTCCCTGCTCACCTCATGGCGATGCAGCGTCGTATACGGCTGACCCTGGCTCTTCATAATCGGCAGAATCACCTCCCCCAAGACCTCAAACTTCTTCCAATTAATCCTATCCCCATCCGGCCCAACAAACGTCTTACTCCCCTCCATAGCCGACACAAGGTCGCGGCGATGCAGCGGGATAAACGGAATCCTCGGCAGCGGCGAATTCTCCCAAGCCAAGCGATACGCAAAATGGCTTTTCTGCGTCCCCATCAGCAGCACCAACCCCGCAAAGCGCTTCTGCACGTCCGGCGCCACCAGTGCGCGCGTCTGCGCCAGGCGATGGATCGCCGTGCCGTTGATACCCGCCAGCACGGCCGCCAGGCCATTGTAGTTGTTCAGCTGGCGCAGGCGCGCTGCAATACCCATGAACTTCTCAAGACATGGGGCGCGGTGCTTAGCCTTGTCGCGGATGAGAATCATGTTGGCGACCCACTGGGCGATGTGGTTGAAGTGGTTGACCATGCGGTTGACGTTTTTGAGGCTACGGCACTTTTCCTTCTGATCATGTGAGAGGCTGACGTGGCGGACTAGGTCGCGGATGCGGATGGAGCCGAACATGATCCAGTCGATGCGCGTAATTTCTTCGGCCATGTCGTCGGGGTCGATTTCCATGAAGGTGTGGTAGCGGAACTTGTTGAGCGGGTACAGCCCGGTGGGGACTAACGTGGCTGCCTCACGCTCGTAATCTTCGACCGTGTGGAATGTGAAAATAGCCTTCGGCCGGGAGGCATGCGGGAGCTCGTGGCGAGCCAAATCTGAACTCTGTGAAGGACGCCGCTGGCCACTAGCTGAGGTGCTATGATGGTCATCCAGCTGCAGCGAGTTCATGGACTCGGCGATGCCGCTCCGGCGTTTCTCTGCCACGTCTTTGGAGTCAGCAGGCTCCTCGACTGGATCAGAGTTTTCCCACCAAGTGTCATCGTCCTCGATAACCTTGTGTTCCAGGTTCCTCTTCATCTGCTGTGCGGCAGCGACGAAAACGGGCTCTGCCATCAGCTGGTTGACGAACTCTGCCAGGCTATTCTTGGATACCGGTCGCGCAAAGTCGCCGGGGTATAGTGACAACCACTTGGCCACAACCTCGACAATGCGCAACTGTGCCTCGGACTTTGCCAGCATCTGCATAGACTGATCGGCAGCCACCTGATCGAAGCGAGCCCGAATGGCAGTCAGGAGTTTCGAGGGCGCGGCGAACGTTCGGTACAGGCAAAGGAAGACATCGACAAAATTGTGGTCTGTTCTCGTCATCTTCGGTGCCACGAGTCGGTCGACCAGCTCGTCAAAGGTCACGCCCGGAAGCTTGGCTGCTTTATCGTCGTGACGGTGGTCATGGTCATCTCCGTACCGATAGCCTTCGGCATCCGACTCGTCCACATCGAGGAAGGACGAGTCGTTGCCGCCATCAAGTCGGACACCCGGCGTGCGCAACATCCCTTGTACTGTTTGCTGTCCGTCTTCAGGAATGGATGCGCTGCTGGAGCCTTGGTTCTCGGAACGAGGTGATCTAGAAGACTGGCCACGATATTGGCCACCTTCGTTGCCACGCACGAGGGAAAAGTCGGAACTGGCTCTGCTGTGTTTGCTGTGCTGGCTCATTGGTCGGCCATTGGAAAGGTCAGAGGGGGTATCGAGGTTTGCAGTCGAAGCAGCGCGCCGTCTCTGTCCTACACCTTCGGCTTTGTCTGAATTTCGAGGCGTTGGCGTCAGCGAAAGTTCAGATGAAACTGACAAATGCTGGTCAACTTACCCTTCCGGGCAGTCAACGCGGCTCTCATCATGGCCTGCAAACATTCCCTAATGCTTTGCGGCGCATTGGCTGATGTCCTGAAGTGGCCAGCACAAGTGGGAGAGGAAGCGGCCACGCCTGCTAGGTCACGGTGACGGAAATCGTCGGGGGCATCCGATTTAGTGGCAACGAGGACGGTAGGCAGAGACGAGTTTGCCAACGCAGCTGGAACTTGTTAGTAGAGAACAAGTGTCAGGCAATAAGGGGACGTTGCTCACCCATTACGGTGGGGAGCTCGCGCATGGTTTCCTCATTCAGGCCGTCGTATAAAAGGAGGGCGCCGTCCATGCGGGGCACCATGTGGCCGCCGATCTGCTTGGGCCAGAGCACTGGCTGGTTGGGGTCGAGCTTGGGAATGCCCTCGAGGTCGAGCTCGACGAGCGTAACATGGTAAAGAGCGCCATCGAGTTCATGCTTCAGAGTGGTGATGTTTGAAGAGGAGGGGCGCGGGGCGCGACGTAGGTGCTGAATGAACGTGGACTTGCCCACGCCCTCGGAGCCGATGACGGCAATGTTCAGGGGCTCCATGGTATGTCTTGCGCACTCAAACTGGGCCAATTGGTCAGTCTGCCTGGTCTCGAGGCGAAGCAAAGGGCGTCGTACCCATGGAGTCGGGTTGGGGTCTGTTAAAGAGTCTTTCCGGGGAGGGATCCAGGAAGGTCTATCGTCATTGCGATGGCCAGAACCTAATGTTGTGGTCGTAGGAGTCGTCGCGGTCGTCGCGTTTGTGGAAGTCGTGACGCTCGTGGCAGTCGTCAAGGTCGTGGGAGAGGTCGCCGCAGATGTAGCAGCTGTGCCTGTCGAAGGGGTAGTAACGCTCTTCGAGGTGAGAGAGAGCGCGCTTGGCGCGTGGGGGTTCGGAGCAGGAGAGGCGTCAATGAGGTTAGCGTATCGGCGGAAGAAGGGGTCGTCGACAATAGAGGCGATCGAGTCTCGGACGCTGTGAGAGGGGGTTGCTGCGTTGGCCCTGAGGCCCGAGGGAGAAGGGTCGCGATGTTTGCTGGTCTTGAGAGGGCCGAGGGTATCGGAATCGGGGGGCTCGGGAGGGTCGTCGACTAGGAAAAAAGTGCCCTCAGTGCCAGGGAGAAAGGTGGTATTGTGGCCGGACGAGTGAATTGAGCTGCTGTTCTTCGCATCCGATGAGTTTGATTGTGTCGATGTCGAGCCTGTCGTGGGCTTTGTGGTGCTTCTGGTGGTTGTCTGAGCATCAGCTGTGATGGCAGGAGCAGCAGCAGCAGTCGAGACTGCAGCATCAGCACCACCCATAGTCCCAACAGCTCCAGGTCGTCCCGGCGGGGTAGACCACGGCACAGACGACTGCGGTAAGGCAGCTCCAGAGCGGTCCTGTACCCACATTCCAAGCTTAGCTGGAGGTCCCAGGTTCAAGCCGAGTCCCTTTTTTTTCGCCTTCTGCCTTGTGAGTGCTTGGATGGCTCCGCGATTGAGGCTACAACACCCTGGTGGCCATGTTCGCCTGAGCACAACACGACAGGACTATCACAAAGTTTTTCCAGCAGGCACGGCGGATGAAGAAGAAAATTGGAACACAACGGACAACAAAAACAATGTTTGATTTCGTTTTCCTTTTTACCGCTCCTCTGAGCCTCCCCCCTGAAAAAAAAGAGCCAGGGCTCAGGGGAAGCCCCCAGCTTTTGTTCCCCAGCTGTCCTCCATCCCCATGTTTCCCTAGTACAAGACCCCAGTGCTGCAGCCGGGCCATCCAGCGCGTCGCCGACAAGTCAGCATCGAGAACGCACAGGCAACAACGCCCCGCCGTTTGCTCACCCAGCCCTCTGTGGCCGGCAAGCAAACGCCACGATCTATGCCAAGAGATTGCCAGAAGCGCGCATCCAGAGACGTGGATGGCCTTCTTTTGGAAACGATTGTAGTTTGTCTATCCTGTGTATAAACATCAGGCGATGATGCGTGTGACGATGAAATGCGCGGTGAACAAAGGCCAAGCTTGGGACGATGAGATGAATTGCGCAGCTTGGTGTTTTCACCCGATGCAGCCAATGTTTGCTGCACAAAGTCACAATGCAGCTGCTGCAGCAGGAACGCTGCCAGACAGCTGTCAAACCCTAACAGCCACCTGGCGATGCCCCACATGGAGCTGCTGTTAACGGTCAGGATCTGTTGCCCAACACTCGGTTTGGCTGGGGTTGCTTAGCTGAGTCAAATAGCGACAGCAGTCGTCGTTAACATCATCATCACCGTCCCCCGGACCCCAATACTGGAAGGTTTTCTTGATGTTATCAAGCACCTAATTTGGACTAACCGCAGCCTCTACGGAGGTATCGCAGTACCGCAAGACCGACAGTCGCATGTGCGAAAGTGCCAGCCGACTGGGTGTTCCCATGCGTCTCAGGAGACAGCTCACAAGACCCTCAGCAGCTTTGACAGGTGAGCCACGACAAACACTCCAAGTGGATAAATATATCGACCAACCCTTTTCACGGCATCTCAAATCTTCTGGTCTACGGCTGCTGCAGACATAGCCATTGCTGAGGATGTCCAAGATCTCTGAGTGGTCCCGATTGTTTCCGTCATCAACCGTTTGAAAGCTTTGATTCGTGACCGAACTTCCTCTGTTAGACACAGCCTCTCAGCGTTATCGGGATCGAACCGGGCGATTGGCACCTCTGACCCCAGGATCTGATTATCAGCCGCCCGAGCGGAGCCCCGCGTGGAATAATCGGAGTTGGGGAACTGGGGAACTGACCCCTCGTTTTCCGCGGCTGTCCGTTTGCTCAGAGCAGGCTCATGACTGATGGCGGCCTTTTCCCATCCTCCTATCTTTTTTTCAGGCCTCATCTCCTGAGCGTCTTTCGATCTTACCATTGCTCCCAACAAGTCACCACCCAAGGTTGCACGCAATCTGAGAGCCAGAGTCGGTAATCCGAGCCCAATTTCCCTCTTGATCACTGCTACACTGCCCGGCGAGATGGTCCCGAAGCAAATGCCCACCTGGAAACTATGGGATCGTGGTCTGCAGATAGTGTTCGCTTCTTGCCGATGGCCCACAGCACCTCTGCAGAGATGCCTGGGAACTCACCTTTCAAGACCACTGGCTGCCGATGTTACGTGCTTGCGGATAAAACTGCCGGCTATCCAAGCAACGTCCAATCTGGGGGATTCGTGGTCACCACAGACCGCCGAGATAGGTGTTCCCCTCTTTTGCTCCTTTTGCCCTCGTACTAGTTCGCGTTTTGGTTCTCGGCTCTCCTCTCTTGGTAGAATTTTGCAACTTGCAGCTCTTCGTCTGAGGCATGCAGCGCTACTGCTCATCTCAACAAAGACTGGACGAAATGCTGCAGATAATTTTGCCTGTCACACATTCTCTTGCCATGCTGCCCCATCACCCAGGCCTGCAGTCAAGTGATTCGGCCGTCCTAGCTCGCACGGCAGATGCATCGAGACCCCTGCTTGCGCCACTTCAACCACGCGTGGCTTTAGCCAACCCCCAACGGACCAGTGGGGCCGTTGCCCGAGATCGCGCCCAACCCTTGCTGGGTTGGGGTCTTTTTGGGGTCTTGGGAGTCTTGGGGCTCGTGTGGCCGGGGTCCGAGGGGGTATCCCATCTGAACGATCATGTGTTTTTTTGGGACTCCAGCTTGTCCAAAGCCATCCTTAGTGCATCCGGAGCAGACTCTCTTTGCAGACTCAACACAGTCATAGATAGTCGTTTCCAAGTCTACCTAGTCATCTCCCTTAACTCCTCATGCCCATCACCTTGCAACCTCGTGCCACTGGGGCCGAGGCAATGATCAATCACTGGCCTATGAGCAGTGAGCAAACCCCACGCCGGCGATCTCAACGGTCGATTGCTCTGCAACCCTGGTTGCATGCACTGCAACGAGGTAGGAATAGACTCTGGATCGAGTGGGTCCGATGATGACCGGCGCCATCTTGACTCCCAGTCTTTGCTCTTGGGTGTGACTTCGGGGGGGAGCGGGTCCATCGTGCCATTCCCCTTACCCAACATATTTGGCCGTCCTGCCCCCCTGGAATGAGCATGTCTTTATCTAGTTTCCTGTCTTGAACATCTGCTTAGCTGTGTGTGTGTCCAAGTGTCGAGTAAATCTCAGATTCTCGATTCCAGGTTGTTCTGGGAACGGCATTCCTATTCACTGAATCACTGCACCGAAGTCGTGCCAGACTACCAATTCCACGAATAATAAGAGCATCACGCGACACTCGAGCAGTCTTTTGCCATCCTGAGCCGAGACCCGACGCCGTATTTTTCTGATTTGCCTTGCTTGAAGCCCAAAGCATCAAGCAGAGTTACAAAACAAACAGCCTCATTAAAGCCAATGCTACTCCAACAACCGCAAGTCTGGGATATGCAGTTCAAAACCAGCTACAACCCCAGGGGGGACAACCTACATAACATCCCCAACGGAGCCTATCGCAACAGCTACCGTCCATCCAAACCTCATCCGAACAAGCACGCTCCGGGGCAAGCTCACTTCGATCCCGACGAGCTTACGCGCCGGCTGTATCTCGTCCTGGCAGAGCGCAAAGCCCTAGCCGAGCGGCGCCGCGCAAGCCGACGGGACGGCACGCACGGTTGGGGAAGCCAGGCCGATACCAGCTCTTCTGGGACGGATCTGATCACCCAGCTGCGCCAGGCGAGACGCAGGTCGAGGATGGCGGCCGAGGAGGAGGACGATGATGAGAGCGACACCCCCGTTGAGCAGCCGCCGCGGCAAGAGACTCCGAAGCGGCACTCAGCCTACGTCCCGCAGCAAGCAGCCAAGCAGTTCGCAAGGACTACGACTATCGACGCCATGCGCGTTGAGGAGAACCAGCACAGCAACAGTACCAGCAACAGCAGCACCATGCGGAAGCTTTCCAAGCGCTCTCTCCAGCAGCCACACCACGCCCCGACGGAATCGTCGCAAACCCAGCATACCCGCATTCCCGAAGACAGCGATGACCGCCCCAACCCCTACACCTTCGAAGAAGAGTACTGTCGCATCCACCAGCCCCCCAACCAGTACCACGACGGTCGTCATCGCCACTACCACCCAACCGACGCACACCTCGCCCGCCGCGCCATGGTCCGTAGCATGAACCTCGACCATATGGGCATGAGCCACAACACAGACGACGACATGGACAACCAACTCCACCGCTACCAATCCCACCCGATCCCCCTTGCCCACCAGCATCAAAACATCCACCCCGAGCGGCGCGTCGACTGGACACAGTCCGACGAGACCGGCGCGGCGCCCCCGCCAGCAGTTAGCTTAAGGCATAATCGCGACCGGGACCATCACAGTCATCACCCGCACCTGCTGCGCAGACCAAAGAGCTCGGCTTCGAAATCGGTTAAGTCGTCCAGCACGGCGTACTCTTCTTCTACGTCGGCGATGGCGTTTTTTACGGCGTTGTTGCCTACGGGGTTGTTTCATCGAGACGGGAAAGAGAAGGAGAGCAGTGGGCGGAGTAGTAGATTGAGTAAGAGAAGTAAGAGTCGGGGAAGTGGAAGTGAGCCGTCCTTGCCGGGGGACCGCAAAAGTCAGGTGTTGGGAGATAATGGGTCGAATGAGGGTGGGGGTGAGGAGCGAGTGTTGAAGCAGAAGAAGAGTTTTTGGGCGAGGTTCAAGAGGAGTTAGAGAGGATATTTAATTTACTTATTGCCGATTGGGCGAAGAGAGGGATGTGTTCATTGGAGTTGAAGGCTATTGTACTTAGCCCGTCTATGTTAGGCATTTGTCGTTTCGGATACCCAATCAATGTGTTTTGTGTCGGTTACCAGTACCATCTGTTGTTTGCGTGACGGTCTGTAAGATCATAATAATGTTGGAAAATCAGTTGGCCTGAGACTCATTCACCACGTGGTCTCACCATCATGCCAGCATCAATGAGTCTCCTCATGGGGTAATCATCGTATTTCGATGGCAAATAGTGTGGGTATCATCCCTTCGAAAACGCCAATCCGATGCCAGAAATAGTAACTCCCTAATGAAAAACGCCATACCTAGTCATGAGAAGAACCCTCCATCAGCAGGAGTCATGCGCCCCAGACAAATCAACCCCCTAAAACGCCGAGTCACGATTCCCAGTTCCTCTCCATGCATGCCTGCCTTGTAAACCTCCCAAACTCCTTGAATGAGAAGTCATGAAATGAATGAACGGATTCGCATCTACTCCAGCCAGCCCGAAGGGGCGTTGCTATCAGCCAGCTTCGAGGCCGCGGCGGGACCAAGCAGACCCTCCTTATCTAGCAGGTAAGTGATCAACTCAAAGAATTCGTCCACCGCATGGCCGATCTCAGGGTGCTTCCTCGCGCGGCGGAGAGCCTCAACCCCATTCTGGATGCCCATCTCCCTGTCCCAGGTGGCGTTGGGATTGTTGGTTTTGAATAGGGTCGGAAAACGCGACTGCAGGGACTGGAGGCCACGCTCGCCGGGTGGCATGGTCGCCATCAGGATGTCCTGGAGGACCTCCTCCAGCCCAGGGTGCTTGGCCACAAAATTGGAGATCTCATCACCATGCTTTTGGGCAATGACCTCCAAGGGCGAGGTATGCTCAGCAGTCTTGACAGAAGCGGTGCCGCAGTCATCATCGGACATCTTCAGGCACTTGTTGCTCTTGGGGGCCGGAGTGGGCGGACTTGGCTCAGGTTCGTTTTT